GTTCTAAATTGCAAGAAAAAGCGGATACCCTTGCATGAAAAAGAGCTGCCAGAGTCGCACCTAACTTAAGAAACGTGGGATAAGGCCTATGTGCCAGGTGCGCACGTTAAAAACCTCATTTTCTTGCGACCCCCAATGGGAAACATACATGCACCATATTTTCCGAAGTTGCTGGTTGCGGGCTGTTGCTGGAGGTCTCCTCAAAGGGGCCCACGACCATTCCAAAAATTTTGTACTTCATTTAGGATATGGCTGGCACTATGGAACGTGTTCCGTCTTGCTGCAATGACAATAATTCTGTCCTCCCCTAGCGCCGCAATGCGCTGAGATCAACTACCAGGCCTCCTATTGGCATTGGCTAAACCCCGGAAAACCACGCTCTGAGAAACGCCAACTGCTTATGTTAACGCTTATGTTATGCTTATGTTAACCTCAACTGCTTATATCCACTTGCCGATGACCTCGATGACCCATTCTCACAATAATATTGTGAACTTTTGGTTCAAGATTATATGTTTCCATGGTACAACTGGATTAAAATGGAGAAAAGATGCAAAAAGGTGTTTGTTTACAAAATGAGTAATCTTCATGTTTGCTATTTTTAAGTAAATCCGTATTAAAAATGAGGTTTGTTTGTATTTTCTATTTTGTATTATCACACTAACAAGAATATATCAGTTAATTTAATTAAAATTAATAGAATAAGAATAAATATTCATTTTTGCGCAGTTTATATAACCAATCCATGAAATCATAATCATCAACACGGTCATTCATTTTATTGCAGCAAAAATGTTTAGAACTTCCACAAACCGTTGCAAGTTTGTCGAGTAATCAATTATTACCTCGATTAATTACTATTAATTAATTCAAATATTACTCGACCCACTGGTATACTTTATGCATCAGCTCTTAGGGTACGGTTATAATAATTCCTGAAAGTAATCGAATATGAAGAAGAAGGAACAAGGACAAAGTAAAGTTCTTCAGACGATTATAAGATGAGTTGATATTCTCTCTTTTTTTTATGGTGTTGTTTCCAAGAAAATCTATTCAACGCCGATAGACAATAAAACACGGCAAAACCGAAATTAGTCTTCACTATTGTAAAACACAAGATACAACATATTTTTAAATGTCATAGGAAGGTGACGTTCGTGAGGTTGAACTTTCCGGTAAAACACGAAGCTCGGGAGAGAAAGCAACTCGAGGCATGTAATGGCGGGTGTCGAAACGGCCAATTGAAGGAACAGAGAGAAAAAATGTCTATCCTTTTTGGGCAGGATTCGCTTTTATTACACGCCTTCCTTGGCTTGTAGAATAGCTTCGGCTATTCGAAGATGCAGTGAAGGATTAGGCATCCAATGAGGTCGCCTCACAGTCTAACGGTTGCGGGAAAGCGTATAAAAACTGAATACCGTGGGTAACGAAGCTGGGCTAAGTTATGCAAAAAATATCTCTATAAGATGTTACGCTAAGTGAAAATTATCGACTATTTATATTTTCCCCAAAGCAGGAATGATTTAAATTATTCGCCTCTTTTACAATTAATTATAAGTAATAACATGCAAAATTTACTTTTACATGTTTTAACTATGAAACAAAATTATTATTTTATGGCTACTATATAATTAAACAAATATTTAAAAAAATTTTGTATTTCGATAACACACTAGTTCTAAAATTTATGCTTCTTCCTACCATCTCAGGGTTGGGTTTTTGTAGTACAGTTTTCCCAACATTTAAGTTGTAAGATATTACACATTCTTTATTTATTTAAGTCGAGAGGTAAAGTATTATTACTGGTGCTCTTGTTTCTAATTTGTAAATATGTATATACATGTATATGTACAGTGAATAAATATTTTTGAATTTTAGATAGACCATCACCTTTAAATATTCCAGAATAATGTCAATAAATTTGCTTAGAATTCTTTTGTTGCATAATCAAAGGTGAATCTGTATAATCTGTATAATTTTGAGTTATGTTATACATGGATTTGGAGGATGCATATCTATTATTTTGGCGCTTGGAACTACTTGCTGGGTGAAACACAAACGTTACTTGAAGTAATGATTTAAGAAGAATAATCCCATCTAGTTCTATCAAAAGAAAATTGAATCAGCAATGTTGAAGATTTTAAGAAATACTTTCGAATGAAGAAAAGTACCTTAGCAAACAGTTTTAACAAGTTTATGAGCAGGGAAAGCACAAATTTTCAATAGATTAAAAACTTAAGTACTTGGCCACTGGAAGAAATTTTGAAGACTATAAGTGTTCTGTAATTTAGTTGTTACCGATCATTTTTGATTATCATTTTTCGCCATCCTCGCTGTTAGAGGTGTATTGCCGAAATGCGTCTAACAGATTAACCCTGTGAGCCAAAAAATGATCGTATTACAGGTTCGTCACCACACAGACCATATAAAACACAACGCACAGAAATCTGACATTTATGTTTTCTGTCATCTACCAGAGAAAAGATAGAGTTATTGCTTATATATCACTAAAATGACAAAATGAAGGTAATTTCTTTACAAATTTTTTGTAGTTGGTTTCTGATTATCTAGACCTATCCTCGCTAATTTGTTTACTTAGACACCTGTTCAATGTGGGTTATGAGAATACCAGTCTTCATAAAATCAAAGGTAATTCGAACAAATATTTGAAGATTTTTTTGTCAAACTGATCATCAGTGGGTGATTAACGAGCAGTTCAGTCATTTTCCATCATCTTGGTCTGCCTTTTCTCGCTGTTTAGATCTGTCAGACACCTTTTCGGCTTCTTCTCATCTTCAGTGCTGGGTCTTGTCTTTAGACGTACCTTCAAATTCATACCAGAATTGGCGTTTAATTGTGCAATATTTATGTTTAATGAAATAATAATTCTATAGATCCGAAGATCAAAAGTCGTAAGTTATTGTCGCCCTTTCATCACTTTCACCAGAGCGCGACGTGAAGTGAACTGAGAAATGATGAAAATATTGACGCTCGCTCTTACACGGTCAATAATATTGACATCCACTATATTTTACCGAAGACATCCAGATTTCCATCAATATCCACTGCCAATCCAACTTTTTTATTACTATACTATTAATATTACTAGTGATCGCGTAAGAACAATACATCGTAAGTTTGCACTTGAAGATTCACATAGGTGAAAGCAGAATGTACGATTATGAAACCCCACCATAATGCACACCATTCCTGTCGTTTTCACTTGAAGATCCTACCATATGTTTGCTGTATGTTTGTATTAAACATAGCCCAAGAAATTTTTGAACTGTATGGGAATTGGATAATTTAGAAATGGAAATGATTTGCATTGTTCCAGTACTTTCAAAAGCGGCGAGTTAGTTGACCGTTGTCGTTACAACACCCTATCACGCTCTCGTGGTCCCAGACAAAGCGGCTGGAAAACGGATGTCTTTCTATTGCATGGGAAAACTTATCTTGCGATCACATTACCCCAAGGCCCTTTTTCTTTTAAGAACATATTAAGAATTCATTACTGCAAGCGCAACATCCATGTGTAGATAATTCGCCGGGTAGAAAGTAGGTCTTGGACTTTCGAACGCCTTTTTTGTTGTAGTTTTTGTGTTTCCGATCGCCATGGTTTGGCTATTCCCGCTGGTTTGGTTGCCACAAATCCCATGATAGGCTAAAAGCAGCGAGGATGTACGGGCCAGGAAGATCGACCAGATTCATCAGCGGCAGACTTCAACGAGAAACATAACATAATTTTTTGGTATGAAAACTAGTAAACACAATATTTAATAGAAGTATGGGTAAATGAACTAATGTTTTTTGACAAAAACTGTTTTGTTGTTTCAACCAACAAGTAGACAGGTATCTACGTTTAAAGGCCAAGGATGAGACAATTGGTACTATTATCACATTAAAGCCAATGACTTGTTTTTCCTGTGTGCCAATCAATTACACATTTTTCACTAAACTCTTCGGGAATAAATTCAAGCCGGTGTTCTTTTTAATTCAAGAGAGAACCAACAATAAAACAAAGACAGTTGTAGATAATTTCTTACAAGTAAATTTGTTAAACTTCGCTTCAATATTTATATTAAATTATTCGGAGATCGTGAGATGCAATCTGGTGTCACGTAGGTTTTAGAAATACATTTTCTTTATCTTGCCAACGTTTCGATCTTTATTGAGATCATCTTCAGGCCAGGGATTTACAAACATTGTTTAAATTTAACAAATACATGTAGGATGTGGAAAAAATGTGAATTTATACAACGCAAAAAAATATTTTTTATCTTCAATCAAAGTCAATCAGGCCGAACCATTACCCACATTTTTTTCCCATTGACGGCTCCTTTCACCTCAAAGAAGCCGACTCCTCACATAAAAATGTCTTTATATCCTGACTTCCTTCCCCACCCCTTCAAAATCCAACGTATATAAACATAAAACAGCAATATTCACTGGCACTCTTAACACGACACACAAGAATGGCACAATTACGCAGAAAACAAATACTTTGAGTGAGTAGAAATAGTTTGATTGAATATAAAAAATATTTTTTTGCATTGTATAAATTCACTTTTTTTCCTCATCTTATATGTATTTGTTAAATTTAAACAACGTTTGTAAATCCCAGGCCCTGAAGATGATCTCAAATAAAAATCGAAACGTTGGCACGATAAAGAAAATGTTTTTCTGAAACCTACGTCACACCGGACCGCATCTTACGATTTCCGATTATTATAAATAAGTTTGAGATTGATTTTTTCCAAATTCCGATTTTGTCAAATTTGTATGAACGGAAAGGCCAAAAAATTCTACACAGACAATGTAAAGAACAACTATAGTTTTAAAAGTTTCCAATCATTATTTCTTTTAACACGGGGTCATTCACTTGTCTACGTTGACAAGGATATGATATCAAGAAACGTTCCATATTTCAGATTTTAATCATATGCACTGATAAAATATTACCTACGCATACAAACTATCAAGTTAATAAATCTAAAAAGTTAATTGATTTATAAATTATTTTATTAGAGAGGACAAGGTTTTGATATCATTTCCAATGCAGTTACATTTAGGCTTCGGTTTTAACTTGCAAGTCAGATTATATAACACAAAACTCCCAGTCACTTTTTATCAGTATTCTTCTATTATGGTCTTCCTGAAACAATTATTTTCAGTGTGAGATTCCCGAGATTCATGCATATTTTAATACCGCTGCATACCAATACTAAAGATCTCTTCACTGCTAGGAAAATACTTCAATTCAAAAACATGGTCAAACTGCCAAATATGAAAAACGTCATGTTATTATTACATTTTTTTAAATGATGATATGTATTTTTATACAGCATAGTCTTAACACCGCTGAATACTCCAAGAGTAAGAACAAAACCAGTTAAGTATTAACTTTATGACAAAAGTTACAAAATATATAAAATAAAATGATTTTTTTTATTGCCTTATAACCATAATATTAATAATATTTATAAACAATAACAGAATATAATAATAGTCCTCCATCATTTTACAGTACAAAAAGAGCTAAAGATTCAACAAACGATTCAAACAAGGACCGCGTTTACACATAGCAGAACAAAACCTGTATAAAAGGGGACGAAAAATACAACGTGTTACAGGATTTTCGACAAAGTGTAAAATCAGGTCTGTTACATTTTGAGGTGTACCTACGTTCATAACGCGAGATTTGTGGACTGAAACCTGTAGTTTGTTTGTTTGCAAACATCTTGATGCTGGGATCTCTTAAACAAGAAGGCCCTACTCACACGGGGTAAGTATATACTCGACTGGAGATACTCGGTTATAAAGAAACCCGTCGGGCATAATGTCGACACTCACACGGAGGTAAGACAGTAGCAGCAACTTCGTGGATACTAGGAAACCCAACATGGTCTAAAATTTATTTTATGTTTCTCAGTGGCATTCATACCATTGGTGTATGCAATGAAGACCACGTGTTCAATTTAAATTTTTTGGCAGAAGTGGAAAAATTTAGAAGGGTTCGAATAAGATGTGATAGAAAAAGGATGGCACTATCTAATTTTTCTAGTGCTGTACCGGCGGAAATAATAATACCTGAACAAGATATCATCAACAATACTAGAATCGAATGTAAAATGGAAAATCACATCTGGCCAGCAGGATGATCGTAATGAACCCAACAACGGATATCGTCTCCTTTTTAATCAAGTTTTTTGATCCAACATTCCAAATTAAAACTATCCAAGAATTATAGTTTTAAAAAAAATTAGCAAATGCACGCTAATACATCAAAAGAAGCTCAAATCTGCAAATGCATGCACATGCATGTAGGTTAAAGAGTTGAGCCTATTACCTCTCGCAGTATATCGACAATCCCAGCTTTTGTCATTTACAATAAATCACCGGTAGGCCTCCAAAATCACTGAGGTGTTGGCACTCCGAGGACAGACATAGGCCGTATCCGACCAGCTCCTGGGACTATCAACAGCTAGGTCATTTTAGCCCCCAACTCGATCATTCACACTTTTGCTCACTCTAAAATACATTATTTCTTATTGATACCACTCACTCAGGTACTTGATATTCCTCCATCAGCCTTTACACATAATAACTGACCTAATGAAGAGTCGATGGAGTGCTCAAATATACCGCCATCGATCCTCTCACACTACACATTCCAGCCAATAAATACTTCCCAATTGTTTTCTCAAAATATGCTAGGATATCCGTACTGTATATAATAAAACATCTCTGTCTCTTCCAAGAATCGGAACAGAGGACACAGATACTCGATGTCGTGCTAAAGCACGATTCTCAACGGTTAACATCACTACGCGCTCCCTATACGGAGCCAAGAAAACTACACCCATCAATTAAGTGGGGCACATCGAGCAACCTTGCTCTACATGCCGGACATAAACGCTTGTTTTGGCCCAAAAGTAAATGTCCGTGTATTAACCTTGATACGTGGGAGCTTCCCTGCCGATCACCTTGAGTAAATAGAGTAAGATTAATTAATAATTCATTTATGATATTAAAACTGGAATAATCATACTTGATATTTCCAATGTTTTGTTTGTCGGGAAATATGGGGACTACACTAAAATCACACGTACTATTGACTAGCATAAAGGATTAGCTTAGAAAAAGATTTTTCACTAATATAGCATTCTATATAATAAACCACCAATGTGTTTTTTATGGGAAGTAAAACAAAACCATTGCTATAAATGTGAATCGGTTGATTTACCGTACTCAGGTCTCGGAGGGAAGGCGTGGAGGACTTCGGTCATTGTCTTCAGGAGCGCTTTTGGATCACCGTAGTAATAGCAGAGATTTTCGTTCTCGATGCAATGGTTTGTGAATTGCGATAGGAAGTTGCCCGTTGGCGAGAAGAACATCACCCTGGGCACGTAAGGGGTGAAAATCGAGACATTGCTTAGCTCTCTTGCCTCGCTGTCGAGGAGATTGACCATTTCGAAGTTTTCCGACAGTTTTCTGATTTCGTCTGAGCCGGAAAACCACGTCCTGAAGAAATCGCACGACTTGCATTTACTAGCATGAACGACGACCATGATCGGATAGCCGGATCGGTTCGTTAACGCCTCTCTGAACTTCTTCCAGTTCACGGCTTGGCCTAAGCCGTTGCTGAAATCTTCTGCACTAGAACTGACATTCGGAACTTCGAAGAACGACTTGAAAATATTGAACACCATAGTTTCTTTTTGCTGGCTGACTTCGGCTTCTCTAGTGTTAAAACTCTGACATTCGTTCAACAGGTTTACGATAGGAAATCGAAGACACTTGACCTCACTTCATTTTTACGATTTTGTTATATGAGACATATGGTTGAATGTCAATTTTCAAAGAATAGCATTGTTCTAAAAATAAAACTGACTCGACAATGCTATTTTTCCTTCTAGTTAATTTTGATAAAGCTAATTTAAACGGAGGAATGAAATTTATTTTTTAAAGTCTTTATTCTTCCAATTGACCAATAAATGGAATTTTGGAGCAATGTAATAGTTCCTTTTTGGCCTCTATAATTTAAAACAAATATAGTCTGGTGATTTCATTTAACAAAATCGTACCAATGTTAGATCGCGATAAATAAATTAAAAAATTATATTTAAGAAATGCTGTATTATAAATAATTTGAAATCTTGATTTTTCTATTGTCAAGACAGATAGTTTTCTAATTATTTTTGTAAGAAATTCAACCAAATACAAATTATTTCAACCATTATATTATAGAATGATTGAATAATTGCAAGAATGACCTATATATGTAATTATACATTATGGAATAATTCTTTAAAAGAAAAGAGTTAGATGTTAGGGTCTTAATATTTATATGTGTGTTTTTTTAGGACCGATTGCTTAATAATTTGTTGGATTCGTGAGGAGCGGTCAAGGATAGTCAAGGTAGTTTAGAAAACACCTTTTTTTATTTATTTTTTCGATGTTTCGGTGCTATTCTTGTGGTGTCATATTGGCGTTGTGTCAGTACAACAATTTCACACAACACCAGTATAACACCACAAGAATAGCAACACACTTTATGCCCTGAAGATGGCCCGCATAAAGGTCGAAACGTCGGCAAAAAAATGAAAAAGGTGTTTTTCTAAACTACCTTATTCTTGGCCGCTCCTCACGAATCCAATAGATTATTATTTCATATCGTGAGATTTGAGGTCTGCAAACTGCAGGGTGGTCGTTTCACAAGCATCCTGATCTTCCTGCTTGGAGCTTAAGCAAGTCTTATTCTTAAAAAAGCGGGAATGTTTAAATTTCAAATAGTTTCAAATTAACATAAGAGTTGAGTACATTTTGACATTATGTTCAAGATGTATATGCAAGTATAAAATGTACTTTATTCAGAAATCGTGAGATTTTCACGATTTCTGAATAATTATCGATTAACGGTCACTAATCACCACACATATAAAATGTACTTCTGATAAAGGCCGTGTTTGCCGATAAAAGGTTGATTCTTGTTTTAAAATTAAACTCATCACTGAAGATGATTCAATGCTGAAAAAGGGACTGTCACTAAGGAGAGACCAGGCGGACCAGATGATCGAAAACAATACAACTACATAATCTTTTATAATCTTGAATCTACCTTTTATAATCCTTGAAAACTTTCTCAATTAAAACTTAATGTGTTTGTTTTTTAGTTGTTACTATGCGTCTTGGATATGTATCCTAACACGACCCTTACCCTACCTAATCTAACCACTTATAATTAAACTAAGCCCAACTGATGATTATTCCCCGGTAACGATAAAAAATGTGAATAACCAGCTTAAAAATATATTCATGTTAAAATGTTCTATTGTAAATAACTTAAAATCTTGAATTTTTCAGCGTTCAAACAATTCCAACAATTCCATTTCAGAAATTAACAATGTGGGGGTCACTCGCCAGGTTATTTATTTTAATTTACTAGATTTTATCTTTTATTACGCTCTATTAGGCATTGTTTTAAAATACTGGCATACTCGGAAATTTGTAACAGAATTTTCAATCAAGTTTACTTTAGAAGCACCCAACAGTTAATTGAAGACCTCCTGTATGACATGAATTATTTTATTTTACTTTTAGTGCTATTGATGACATTAACATTTTAAAAAAATCAGCGGAACAATTTCCCTTTTAGCTTTTATAAAAATTTATGTGCATGCCAGATTTTGAAGGAATGTTAATGAAAACTAAAACAATTATAATAACAATAGTAATATTAACTACAATCATGTTAAAGTGTTTTTTTTTTCAAGAAAATTACTTTCAGTAAGACATAAATCAAGATAGTTTTTTTTAATGTTACTACAGTTGTTATTTACAATAAATATTTTATCAGGTTATACGATACTCTCGTCGGAATAATTTCGATTCACAACGTGAAATGGGGAAATTTCGAAGGGGAAATTTTCGCGGTCCTTTATAATCTATAAACATTTGACTTTCTCTCTGTTTAAGCTGTGGGCGAACATACAGCACATGATACCACTTATTGAAACTTTCCCATACTCTGATAGAGCTTGCGGTGAATCAATTATATTCACTCTGTAAAACTACTAGAAAAACAGGAAAAACTTGTATATATTGATTGTGTACATCCAATTCATTTTTAAACTATTCATTAGACATGACGTGAAAGTTTGGTGAATAACTGTACATAGAGAACTATTTATAAGTTATAAATAGGAATCCAAATTTTCTCGCGCAGGTAAGTCTGACCTGAGTAACATACAATAAATAGGAAATATTACGAAAATATAGTTCTGAATATAAATGTTTTATCTTAATAATGAATATATTAGGAATATGAGATGTTTCCCAATTCAGACCTCATTGTGCAACATCGTTGTTAAATCCTAGTTTTTTTATATAAAAATAAATTCGAAAACTATAGTAATATTGATAAAAACAAACTGTGGATAAATGACTTGGACATAGTTTTCTAATTAACAATAAACAATTTTATTCAATATTAACAATACCAATATTGTAGAAGTAGTACAAGTAGAAAATTACTACTAATTTTTTTTTTTAAATCCAAATTGCCTATCGTTTGTAAACTATCAATGGCTGAATGTTTACTGGACAATCCAATTATAATTCGAGACAATTTCAATGTTATATGTCACAGACAAAAAACAAATTTTGAAGGGTCCTTGAAAGTGGATTATGTATTTTGTGTGAGCAATTTACAGTATATATATTTTGATAAAAATGCAAAAAAAAAAAAAAATATCAACAACATCGGAAAATGGCAAAAAGAAATAAATCTGCTTTTTCTGACTCTTTGATATCTGCAAATTTCATTACCTTTACTGTTTTTTTAATAATTTGTTTATTCTATTTTCTTCGTTCTTGTTATCCTTCTTTTTCTTTATACAGGTGAAAATTATTTTTTTATTTTATAATTTCTTTTAAAAAAATGGTAAAAACTAGTTTTTACTATTATTAAACTACTAACTAGTATTACTGAAAATAATTTTAGTAAGACATTTTCATTTTTATAAAGGTTTATACTAATTTGGGAGACAGACAGACTTTGACCTTGTTGAAAATTTCAATAAACTTTCTTTGATGATGGTGAATTAATTTTGAGACTTATTGACAATTTAGTGTTCAGGTATTGTAACATTGCACTATTCAAAAACCATCATTTCGTAGATTTTTGTCGTTATGTTTTTGGTTGATAAACGCAATGGCTACTGTTTTCTGGCTAAAAAACAGTTTTAACAATTATTATTTATCAATAGTTTGTTTTAAACTTTAGTGCTAATAGTTAGAATGTGATAAAAATAGAATTTTTTTTTTGGAATGAAAGATATTAAATACTACGGCGAGTCTATTTTTATTAGGGGCAAAAACAACAAAACCGATCTGTGATTGAATTTTTGAAATTGTTTGCCCGAGAAAAACTCAAGGTTTAAAATTATTGAAAATCGAAGATTTTAGATTTAAGAGAGAATGCAAAGTTTAATTTTGCACCTTTTTGGTTCAAAACAAATATTGTTTACCGTTAGAATTGTTTGAATTCTCAATAGTAAAAATATATTACAGTTACAAGGCAGGACCTATGAAAAAGTGAAAATCATGAAAATCCACACAAAAGTTAATCAATCGTTCAAGTCAATTCCATTTTGACTTTACGAAAAACAGGCAATCAAAAGCTTTCCTTATGAGCAATCAAAAACCGTTAAGTTTAAAAAGGAATGCCATCCGGTTCTTTAGTGATTAGGACTCATCGATCCATAGCTCCATATTCAAAAATCGTGATATTTTCCATTGAATATAAGAAGAATTTGACTCGGCAAGAGAGAAAAAACGATTCTGGAAAAAACTGGAAGGAACGGGGTCGCCCGTTAGATGCTACAATTCACCGACAATGATGAGAGTCGTTCCTCAATCCATTCTAGGGTCATAACGGTACGAGTTCACTGACTATTCCCAAGAGTTGTGTAATGACTTTTACTGCACGGACAATTTGTTTCAATAGTATTTTTCTATCCCCCCCCCCGGAAACCGACATTTCCGTTTTAGCATTGCGATGCTATCCTCTTCAAATGTCCCAGCAGGAAAAAAATGTTTCTGCACATTAATTACATAACAGGTGTTTTGGGCGGTCAATTTACTACGATGCTATAATCAAATATTACGCCTGAACATCAAATTCAATTTGTAATCGAATAATTAAATCTACTTATTGTATATTAATTAAATTATACTAAGGCTGGTCCTAACTACAATATTTAACAATTTTACAAATGATTCTAGTATATTAAGTCGTCTGTTCAGTGGTAAAAGACTAACATCGGACAGCGAAATTGAGCGTACGACAAACCAATTTTCCACAAAACCACTTTACCAAAGAAAAAACGGAATCCAAATCGGCCTCCACGCACTTTCTTCATCCAAGCATGATAATAATGTGAAAATTTTGAACAATGGAACTTATGTGCAAGCTGTACGGAATCGACTCAATGAGTCATTTGATTATCTATTACATTGACATTATTTGAATGTTTAATTTTGAAATAAACATGACAAAAGGAAGAAGTCCGACTTCTTTATACAACGAGAATGTAAAACAGGAGGATTTCTCTTAACAAATATTTGGAAATTTTAAGCACTTTAGCAGTTTTCATCGACCCTGGAAGGTAATGAACTACTATTGTGTGTATATTAAAATTGAAATTGTTAGAGAACCCAGTCAAATCAAATCAGTGTACATTTCATCTCAATGTTGTAACAAGCACGACAATAAAACATTAATAATGCCATTGTTTTATGTTAAAAAACAGAAATTCTACAAATTAATGTCTAATTAAAATATATTATTAAACAATTGCCATATTTGATGGAAATACTAGCTGAATCTAAACCTGAGATCTGTTTTCTTCGTCAAAACCGATCAAGCCATGAGACGTAGTGAGAATGAAAATCATTGAAAATTATCTTGAAATCTTTTCCTTGAGGCAAATTTGAATGCGATACAAGAAAGGTGGAGAGATTTGGATAAATTGGATTTATACAAATTTTGAACGAACAGAACCCATTATCGAACTATCGTTTTGACATGATAGCGAAATATCAGTCGCATAACCGTTTATAAAAAAATTATTGCGGCTACTTAAAAAAAATACAAAAGATACGTAACGTTAAATCAGCGTGACCGTTTGTGAAAGTTTCACAAGAAGAAACAAAATCAGTTCCAGATGTAAAGTCATCAAGATGAAGATACTTGACGTACTCATTGTCTCTAGGTGTTTCATTCGTAGGTACAATAGTGTAAAATTGTTTTCGTAAGAACAAAAATTGTTTGTGTCAGAAGACTTATTAGGTCTTTAGATTTTCTTAAAAATGAATACTACAAAATTTAGTACTATGTTTTCGTTAGTAATAGATTTAAATTAATAACTCATATTTATGTAGTTCAATTTTTCAATATTTCTCTAATTGGATAAGGTATTTTTAGATGGATGGAAACTGTGCTGTTGTCTATTTGTTCGGAAGGTTCATTCTTTCAAATAATCAAGACGTAAAGTGGGCAAAATAACTTTTATCGGTAGACCCACAGTTGTATTTTAAGTATGCAGAGAGAAGTTTTCTTTGGAATTTTTTTTTTTTTTTGAAATTTTGGACATAAATCACACCTTAAGAGATATAGATGGCTGCATCTACATCGTACATTCTTATCCAAATGTATTTTAAAAAACACCCCCTGTTTTTTTTAACACAAAACAAAAATAAATTCTCAACACTAGGACAGCAAATAGAGGAAGGCGCCAGAAAAAGCCGAGGACACAGGAAACGCTAGTTAATCCATCAGAAGCCGTGTTGAAAGATGAAATCACGTCGTTCAAAGCTGGAAAAAGTCATAAAAAATATTTTTCGTGTTTTAAGAACTGACCTGAGCGTGATCCTGTTCGTTCTTGGGGCACATGTCGAGGGAGACTGAGGAGCTGGGCACGGTTCGTCGAGGACGCGGCCAGGCCTGGTGGGGCGCGGGGCCCTGATCAGCTCAACCCCTTGGATCAGAGCACACGTTTTATGTGCATCTTTATGAAATATAAAAATTTGAAGTAAAACATAACAAATCTGAACGCACGCTGATAATGAAAAACAATTCTACAATACCTAAATACGAAACTAATTAAGGACATTGACCTTCCTTGCCAAAAGATCCAACACCCAATTGATATATTTTTTGTAGAATAAATTAAACTTATATGAAGAATGTTTTAATAATTCGTTCAGTTTTATCATTTTTTAATGTAATATTGCATAACATACTACATATACTTAATGAAGATTCCATCCGTAGATTAAGCATGCTACATTATATACTTTCAAAGACAAAAAAAGCCGGAATATGAATTTCAGGGTCGGTCATAACCAAAACAGAGACCTATTCGATTGAATTGCAGCTCAAGAGTAAGCAACAGCTAGTTCTTGAAATTCAGGTTGATTTTGATTCAGTCTAATTGAATACAAAGATCAAATGAAATAAAAAAACAATTTTAAGGGTTTTTTTTATGTACACCCCAGCTGAAACGGTGGCTAGTGATTTGTGTTAGGAGAAAAGGCTGAAGCGAGATAGTGAACTACCATCTGAAAGAGCACAATAGCACTACCTGTTGGATGCAGTGCAAAAAGCTTGTCAACCACCTATAATACTATAGTTTGATCGTTACCGATAATTTTAGTTTGCCAGTATCCTAACTGGATTTGTCTATCAGACGCGGTTAAAAGCACTACCGATGGTACAAGAGGCTTTTTAAACACCTATAATCCTGAAATTTTGGCGTGCCAGTAGCAGATAATAGCCGAAGTATATTCCTGTAAATTGGGGCTCAAAAGGCCATTAAAACAAAGAACTGATATTGTGAACTCAAGTCTATGTTGGAAGGAGTTTCGTAGCAGAGCTTCGCGATAAGAAAAAATTCCAGGTAAGCTAGATAGTTTGCTATCCATACCTGAAAAAGCACATTGGCACTACCATGGACATATTTCAAAAGACTTTTTAACCATCTGTTATCCTGATTTTGGTGATTATTGATAATTTAAGGTTAGCCTATCCTAGCTGGGCTGTTCTGTCATAAACGTTTCGGCATTTCCCCGTCTTCAGAATTGGGTCCTCTTATAATCCGTATATCTAACAATACCTTTTTTTATTAACGGTAGCATAGCAAGACTTTATTCGGTTAATAATACTAATAAAATTCTTGCACGAGGCATTGAGCTATGTTTAGAGTTGTTAAGTGTACACTATGACCCAAATGTGGAGCAGCACATAGTTATGCTAATTGAAAAAGTGTCCAGGGTTAGTAAAGTTATCAGTTTAGTTCAACAAAAACAGGCAAGAAAAACTCAATCCTGCAAACATAACAGCCACTAACACGGTTAAGGAGGCTAATAAAAACACTAAAGTTAGTGTGAAGAGGTACATTAGTCCTGTTTGATGGTTTGCAAAAGGATCTTTAGCCACCTCAGCACACATCTAATCTAATACAACCTTGAAAAAGCGACGAATAACTTCGGATTGAATGGTTTCAATTCGTTGGATGTTGGAAGATTTAGCCCACCTCTACAGTTCGACTCCGTGAGTCCAATGACTAGGGTCTAATGACTGTTTTGTAATTGTTTTTGTAGTTTGTTATGTGTTTGTTTGTAGTGTCGAATTTTATCAGTAGTGTTTGGGTAGTTTCTATCTTTTGTTGAGGTCTTGTATACGAGTTCCATGTAAGACTGTTACCTACTTAAAGCCCTAGGTAGCGGACCCGTTGGATGGTGGTATTACCTTGTTGTTTATGTGCACTGGTTGACACGTTGAACGTTTGACCGTAAACATAACTTGAAATTGTTTGCTCGTTCAATCGATCCACCACCGCACTAGTCGGTAATGAGGTACAGATATTGTTGGACTACTTATATGCCTATGCGGTGTCGTCCGCATATGTTGTGAGTTGTACGTTTGGATTTGTATATCAGCAGTGTAGAGGTATAGAGGATTGGACCTAGGATACTTCTTTGTGGAACGCCAGGTTTGATTGGCGTGATGGGTGAAAAATCAGTCGGATATTCACTTTAAACCATCGAAGTTAATCGCTCGAAGGAGCCGTTATTGTCAAAATTGTACATTATTTAAGTTTAAACCGACACAGTGACGGGCAGAAGGCTATCGCACAAGTAAGGCCTGGATATTTGGGGATTAGGGTTTTTATAAAGACGGTAAGGTGTAACGTTTTTTAAAGAAGTGAGGCGATATAAGATATTAAGATGATGGACGGGCGTCTGGACCCACTAGACTCTGCTGATGTGTCGGTCTGAGGGGCAACTGGTTACTCCATAATTTCGATCATGAAGGAAGGACTTCATTATGAGATAGCAACTGTGTGGGAGAATGAGTTTTAATTTGTAAAGGAGGCCGGGGGTGCGAAACATGGTAGAATTCCCTTCATCTCACCCAACCTCTTATTATTAAGAGCCAAAACAGAAGCCTTTCCGTGTAAATTGGAGTACATAAAAGCTAAAGCTTAAATTGAGGTATCGGGGCGTCGGTGGCTCCGACGGTTTAGGCGTTGTCACAGCGGTCTCACTACGCTTTGAGATTCGGCCTTGCCTATCACTAATGAAGCACCGACAACGACAGCAAGGGTACTCGCAGCCTTATCCTCGTATTCGCCTTCTCAACACTGAACACAATCGACATGGCTACTGGTCAAGTGTTGCACTCGGCTACCTGCTGCACCAGAGTCCCGTCAACCTCTGGAGAGTCAACCGACTCATGGATCTCAACCAACGGTTCTCTCGGTCACGGACCACTACCAACGGCACACAACCGGTCCGGCCTCGAATCATCTTCTCAACACTATAAAACAACACCGGCCCTTCATCAGGGACGCCAAAAAACTCCCAGTCACTAAACTAGTTTTAAAATATAAGGTTAAAAGCAGAGTCTCGTAGGGCAAAGATCTTTTTAAGATCAGAGAAGAAATATTAATAAATTACTTGTTTTACGTACTTTACTGTTTTGTTGACTTGGGCTTTTTTACGTGTCTCCTGCTGAGCCGGTGGCTGGCGTTTCGCGAAATCGGCGCAACTCGAACATGCCGCTCTCATGAGACAACCAGAAGAACTCTCTGATGGCGGCGGGGTCCGATGCATATCTTATCTTCCTCCCGAACCTTACCAGTGGTTAAACCGAGCCGTTGAGTTTTCGAAAGCGTTCCATCTCCTAGACTGTGTGGGAATGCCGTTCGACTCCACCGTAACATGAAATTCTGCCGGCCTCACTTCTTCCGTCATACGTATAACATGTGGCTGAGGGGCGGCCCGGGGAAGGCCCCGGGGATTCAGAAGAGGCTGGATCTCATCAGGGAAGATACACCTGATCTCAGCCGACTCAAAATCGACGAGAAAGTCTTCGACGACCTCGAGGCGGATCTCAACAACTCCGAAGCCCTTGCAGACCATCATATTAGGTATCGAGCTGAAGATTTTTTTTTTTGTCGGAAATTACCGTTTTTGTTTTTTATATTCTTATATTAAAGTCACATTTATGCCTACGCCAACCAGAGGTCACGCTTTACCTGATTTTGAGTTCTGCGTCTTAAATTCATAGGCATTTTATAAAATGACCCATCTGCCTTCATCCCTATACATCTCTTAAAATAATAATGTAAAGTATAAACAATAAACATTGTAAACATTTATTACCGCTTAAACAAATATTCCAATTATTTTTTTACAATTGAAATTAATATCATTAATACTGCATAATATTTATATAAAAACATAATTTTGCCATACATGTAAGCAAGGAGACTACACAAGATGGTAAAAGTTCAAACAACTGTAAATAAAACTTTTTATGTAAGATCTTGGTTGAGATTAAAAAGTCAGTGTCACGAGTGGGCATCGAACCCATGACCTTCGGTTGGCATGGCAAAAATAGGCAAATACGAAAGATTGTAGGAGATGAATTGGTGACGGAGTGGATCGAAGTCACGATATCTCAAGTGGTTAGAGCAGCGGCGTATTGAGCGGAAAGTCGTGGGTTTGAATCCCACTTGTGACATGGACTTTCATCTCAACCAAGACCTTTCATAAAAAGAATAATTAATTGAAATAATTAATATGTAAATAAAACATTTTTGTTATTATCAATCACTTTATTCTAACTAAATTTGATCTGTCAGAAACATTACAGCCTTCCAACATCATGAATAGTGGAATTGTGACTTGATTCTACACATATACTGTGGGTCAAAAAATCATTCGTACACTTTTTTTTCATTCACTTGTCATCTAAGACCGTGACTTACACACACCAGATTAGTCAATTTGGTTGAAGAAAACTGAAGCAAAATATTTGATAGTGACTGAATATGACTACCTAAACTGTAAGCAAACATGTTTAGGTCATGTTTAGGCTATATGTTGTCCACATATAGCTTGAGTTGTCAACCATTACTTGGAGGATGTATGAATTACCACAATGAACTGTCCATTGTGTAAAGTTTGATCAACAAAAAACAATTATTAATTTAATATCAAAAAAGGCCAATTGTGATGTTATTCTTCACAATACAATAATTGTTTTAAATATATCTTTAAGATTTTGCAAAATTACAAATTTTTCAAAACTAACTTGTAAATATAAAGTTGTTATCCCAATGGCTTCTGTATTGCTTTGTCGAAGATTAACAATTTATTTCATAATCTTCAATTTAAAAAATTAAAAAGTTTTTTCAGTGACCTGAACAGAATACGCAAGAAAATTGAGTTCAATCAGATTGAAAGGAAATATTTTGGTGTTAATAAAAAACCCAATATGCTCACATGGTCTGAGAAGGAGCAGATACGCCATTTAAACCACATAGATCCTGAAATCTGGACACCTGAAAAACTCGCAGATAGTTTTCCTGCGACAATTGATGTCATAAAAGTTTGTTTTTAAATTTTATTTTTGCTTTTCTCTCTGTTATTTATAAATTTACAGAACATTTATTTAATTGATATTCAGAAACTTATTCGATCTCAATGGATACCTCGAGACTTAAAAAGAGTAAAGAAACATGACAAAGCGGTTTCTGCAAACTGGAAAGCTTTTGAGACTGGTAGATTAAATCTTCCTGAAAATTTGAAAGAGCATTTTAGCAAGTTTACTTCGAGAAGAAAGATTGTTCTTGCAAATGGTGAGGATTTTTCACTTGTGTTTCACTCGTATTTCATTTTTATTTTAATTACAGAAACACCTGAGAGTCTAGAGTTGACTGAAACTGCAAGTTGTTCAGATGAGGAAGGGGAATGGTCTAGAATAGTCGCAAAGTGCCAAAACGAGTCAACAAGCAAAAGAGAAAACCATCCTCTCACTCTCTCTCCTTCTGGCAAGTCAGAAACTTACGTTTTGGGAGGGCATAAAAGAGGACGACACACCGAATTGATGACATTGGCTGAAGTTAAAAAAACTCAGAGCCTCAGTGATACTGATGACAGGGCTCCTTTTGACAGAGCTTTCATCATGCATTGTATCGAGTCAAGACTTGTCGCTAAAGAGAGGCATTCTGCAATTATAAACTCGAATTATGTGCCCAGTCTAAAGATGTCACAGTCGTCAAGCGGTACTTTCAGCAGTGAGAAGCTGAAAGAAGAGAAAATTCAAATGACTATCAACATCCCTAAAAACAAATGGAAAAAAGGTGCAATATATCGAGTCAATAACTGCTACTACTCCGACGAAGGCAAGTTTCTTTACAAAGCAGTTTTTGGTCGCAAAACTTAAACATTTTGTGCAATTCAGTAGAAAATTTTCAAGTTTTTAAAACATCCGAGTACTATGCATGCATGTCATGTATAGAATTGGCTTTTTCTACAATATTTTAATATGTGTATGTTTTCACTATGTAACTAGTATGTGTGTTTCAAGTTCCTTCATGTGTGTATGTAGGATTCTTCAAAAATTTGTCATAGTTACTTAATGGTTGTAATCTGATTTTTATTCAAAATATAACATTTGTGGTCTGAGTGTCATTTCATCTCTCAATTTCTATTTCTTAAATTCACTTATTTGTATTTAATTATTCATTATGTATTGAAATATTCTAGTTTCTCCTCAGCATATATAAGGTGTGTAGACATTCAGGGAGATGGTCAAGGAAAAGGGAGAATAATAATGGGCTCAGGCTACTATTCTGTATAACACCAGAAAACCTCAAAATAACTAGAGCCTTTTTTACTCATAACTGCAGAGTTGAAATGTTTCAGTGAATTTTTACTGAAAAACCAAGGTTACTGAGTTTACCTATCTCCTAATGAATATTTATCTAGGTGCAACAAAGAGATATGCTAAGTTGATGGGTAGGAAATTAAATTGTCTTTTACACAATATGCTGGGTTGCATATTGGGATTTATTACAATATTCATTTTGCACCACTACACGCATACTTATAAATTTTATTTATGTATCTAATAAATTTTTAAATAATGGTAAAAAAGTGTAAAATAAAACAAACATAAAGATAATAGTAAAGAAAAGAAAACTGCAACAAGCATATTACAAACAAAAAGTAAAATAAAATTTTACAAGAAATATATTATTGTATTATTTAGCAGGTTTTTTGTTTTTGATGGAGAAATAACGTGAACTGGATAGTCTTGACAAAACGGTGTTTGTCATCTAGGTGCGCATATCACAATCCGACCCTCTGAAGCTAAAAAATATGATTAAAATTAAGTGGCAGTGCCGCTGATTTTTTTTTTTCAATGTATTTTCAGCATTGCATCTGCCTTTTCATATCCTGCAGTCTGGATACTCAGACATCAACCACCTTGTAATGCTCCAGTTCATGGATAATACCAAAAGCACAGCAGAAATACTTGTTTATGAATTATGTATAGGTGATCTCAGTATAATTCAGAAAGTTTTGTATTATTCCCGGTGATCTGATATTTATTATAATTTGAAACACGTTACTAGACAATACAGGTTCAGCATTCAGCAGAAGTAAAAAGAAAATGTCGCAATATAATGCTGGACTATTTTGGACAGTAAAGAGTACCAAGTGATTAATTAATAAAATTATTAGCCCAGCCGGCATAACATTTTGTTGTTACTGTTAGCAATAGTTGATCTGTTTTATTAATAAAAAAATTTCTGCATGTTTTCTTTCCCAAGAGGAAAATGATTCTTAATTAATTACTATTTTATCGAATTTTTTTTTAAAGATAAAAACAACAATGGAAGTTATAAGAATTGATCATTTTATTTAGCATCAGAGGATTGATCATATTTTTAATCTTATTTGAGGTTTTTTAAATGTTTTTAAAAAATTAAATTATTCGAATGTTTAAATGTCTAAATTTGAAGTAGAGCGGACCGGAAGGGCGATCACAGAGGCGTATGAAACCTTTTCCGACCATAACCTCTTCAGTTATCACGCTGTTATCACGTCGATCGGCTCTCGGTAGTCGGCACTGTTCTGCTGAAGGACGACTGATGACGATGGGCGTCTAGTGGAAAATAACTCCAGCCCTCTTTCCGCACCGTCCGGGCCGAGCGCGGAGACGAGGATGCCCTGAAAGCCTGAGCGTCCTCATCCGACCACCGGGGAAATGAATTTTCTCAGAAGAGCGGTCGGCATGTACAACGCCTGTCTCAAGACACACCGGCTCAAAGTGCAAGCCGTCCAGATATCCGCTCTCATGGGCATGGGCGATGTCTTCGCCCAGAAGCTCGTCGAAAAACAAAAATACGATCCCGTCAGAACGTTGAAGTGAGTCTTTTTTTTTTAAATCTTATTTTTTTCTCCCAAGGGCATCGCGTACCATGTGACCCCTGACACGTCTTAAAAAAATGAGATAACTCAAATATATTTCTTCTTATTATTATTTAGAGATCCTGAGATGTGATCTGGTATGATGTAGGTTTAGAAAAACATTTTATCGTGCCAACGTTTCTATCTTTATTGAGATCATCTTCAGCGCCTGGGATTTATAAACCTCGTTTAAATTATACAAATACGTATGAGCTATGACTATGAACTTATAAATTGATGTACACAATATAGAAATTTTAGGTTTAATCAAATTTGTACTCACTCAAAGTGTGTGTTTTCTATGTAGATGTGTTGTTGTGTGTCGAATTGAGAGTGTTAGTGAGATCAGAGATACCATCGTTTTTTGTTTATATATGTTTGAGTGAGTGGGGAAAGGAGATAGGGATAGAAATTTATTTTTATATGTGGAATCGGCTTCTTTGAGTTGAAAAGATCCCCCACCAGTAATAATAACTCTAAAGTAATTGACAAAATCAATTGTACAAATTGTCCGGTAACTTACATCGGAATTACATCACAATAAGAAGGTTAAAACATCATATCTATGATTGCAAAAAAATAAAAAATAAAATCCTACACCACTGGCTGTCCACCTTTTTGATCACCAATACATTTCCAATTTCAACAATCCAAAAAATTACACACAGAACAAAACAAACATAAATGTAGCTTTTTAGAGCATTAATTACAGAATAGACATATGTTCTGTTCAACCCATTCAGCCGCAGCTACACTAATATCATATATCAAATTCAATATAAATAACATACATATAGCACACAAAACATATAAAACAATCATTACACTTCACACATCAGACAATTCTACAGTCTAAATCTTCAACAATTTATCTCTCCTTTCCCTAATAATCATGAAAGGATAGTCATGCCCGAATGACAAACCAAAGATGGTGTCTCCTCACAGTTAGTAGCTACTAACTGTGAGTAGGTACCATCTTTTTAAAAAATATTGAACAACATTTATAATTTCTAACCATTACCCTTTTTTTCCATTTTCGGTCCCTTTCGCCTCAAAGAAGCTAACTCATCATAGAAAAATGAATTTCTATCCCTATTTTCTTCCCCACTCCTTCAAAATAAAACATATATAAACAAAAAACATTAATATCTCACTAACACTCTAAACAGACATGCAACAGTGACACACCACAGTACTTTGATTAAACCTAAAATTTCTATATTGTGTACATCAATGTCTAAATTCATATTCATGTGTATTTGTATAATTTAAACAACGTTTATAAATCCCAGACACTGATGATGTTTTAAATAAAGCTCAAAACATTGGCATGATAGAGAAAATGTTTTTCTAAACCAACACTGCATATCATTATTTCTAAATAATTATTACATAATGGTCACTAAACATTATACATTTCTTATTATTCATCAAATTGTCGCCCCTGTGTATCACAAAAGCTTCGTAAATAAACTCAGTAATTGTAATTCTACCTGGTTCTCCAAAAAATATTTTTTTATACACTAATAGACAAAATTAGAGCATCACCCTTAAATTTTAATATATTATTCATATTTTGCATACCAAAAATAGGTTTTGTTGTAAAAATGAGTTATTTAAAAAGAAAATCCTTATTACCTAACTCTAAAAAAAAAAATTCAAAAAGTAAATAAAAATATTTAAAAAACATTATTATCCCCTGTAATATCGAATATTTCCACCTCTGGACGAACGGATCACCTCAGTTAAACACCTTTGTGTTCCTTGGAAAAGATTTCTGGTAAAATCATGAGGAATTCTTTCCCATTCATCAAGAATGGCCAATTCCAACTGCTCTAGGGTGTTAGAACCTGGGTTTTGCTGTCGTACTTGTCGCTTAAGTTGGTCCCATATGTTTTTTATTGGGTTCAAATGTGGACTTTGAGCTGGCCACACCAAACACTCAATTCCTACGTCATTCTAGGTAGTCATCTTCAATACATGCTCAGTGGTGTCTGGCATTATCCTGTATTAACAAGAAACTCACTGATGGGGGGGGAATGTTCTTCACCCCAGAAATGACCCAAAGTGAAATGCCACCTGAGGAACCATACAGCATGGGGCTTACCTTACTCCTGAGCATCTCCATATGAAATTAGGCCCTCACCTCATCTGTAAAGAGAACTCGTCCCCAATCTTCCAATGTCAACATGGTAATAGTTGACAATGATTCTACTCACAAACTGATTTTCAGACACATATTTGAACATTTAATGTTCATCTACTATCCAAGTTATTTACATTTTCCACCTAGATTTTACAGTACTGCCACTGTCTACAATATGGAATGAAAACTACTTGTACATAGCTTGCATAGTATGATTTTTTCAGACGAGGCAATTTGGTTGATTCAGCAACCCACTCGAAGAAAAGTTAGCTGCATGCAAAGGCTACACTCCTTAACACGTGTCCATCAATTAATTTAATCTTCTGAGAGGCCTTAATGCTCAAAATCCGTATCTGCAAAACCAGTTTGTGAATAGAACCATCCTTTTCAAATATTTAGTTGTTGAATATATATACTCACTAAATTATGACTTTTTTTTTAATAAAAAGAAATCAAATACCCAGTTAGATCAACATTCACAACAATGTTGCATTTTTAATGTTTGTTCTTTGCTTTACAGATTCATGTCCCTCGGCCTTGTTTTAGGGCCAGTCACCGACAAGTGGTTTATGGTGATAGACAATTTCTTTGGGAGAGAGATGACTTTAAAGAAAGGCGTTAAAAAGGCGTTGTTAGACCAAGCGATCGGGAATCCGGTTTATCTCACTGTCATCCTCGGCGGGCTGTCTTTTATCGAAGGCAAAGATTACACAGAAACACAAAGAGTGTTCAAAGAGAACTTCCTCGACATACTTCTCGCTAGTTACATGGTATGGCCTGCTGTTCAGATCTTCAACTTCACCCTTGTCCCGAGTCAGTACAGAGTTTTGACCATCCAGACTGTTGAAATTCTTTGGAACACCTATTTGTCATGGAAGACCCACCAAGACGAACTGAACACATCTAAAAATTTTTAGCTTTGCCCAGACAGCTTCACGAGTTGAAATTAGTCGGCCTTCTTGCAGACTTTACTCCATCGGCTCAATCTCAAGCTTCAATTATTCTCTTTTTTCAAAATAAATCAATCAAATGTGACTTTATTCCTATTGATAATACAATTGTGATATAGATTATTTAATTAAGCTTGTAAATATTTTCAATAAAGCTAATTTTTATACTTCTCAGTCTCAATAACCTTTTTCCAATTTTATTCTCATTTAAAATAGTACAGTAAAATATAATTATTTTTCATGTTAAAGTGGTTTGTTGTAAAGCTAAACATACAAGTGCCTGTATTTTTAGGTTTTAAATAAATTAAATTTGAGAAAAACATGCATTCTTGGAAGTAATTCCTTTTCAATAACAGGATATATAATAATAGAAAATATGTTTATTTGCAAATAATATAAAATCACACATCGTTCTTTTGATTTTAAGGCATATGTTAAAGTCTTACAATTATTATTTTATTTTAAATTAGAAAACTGAATTTGAAAGAAAACTTTCATAGATTAATTATGATTAGGTTTGAAAACATTGAATTACAGTGCTTGTTTTAAGAAGTTATTAAGATCAAATTTTAAAAAAATAATGGAGTTGTTTCATAATTAAGATAGCCATTTTAAATAACAAACCAGGATGTGAAAATATAACTTATTTTTGCATTTCTTTCAAATATTTATCACCAGAGGACAGCAAAACTCTCTTCAACAGTACTGTACGGTGTTGTTCTTAGCCCCAATCTGAAATTGTATTACGAAAAAATTACCAATACTTAAAATGCTTTAAATTATTTAAAACTTACTCATTCAAGTTTTTACTGATTTCTTCAACTTTAGAAGGATGGCAGACAACTGAGACCCTTGTGACATCAGGATCAAACATTGGGGCGATGTACTTTGGACCGATTTTAACTAAATCTTCAATGGAAACGTTAGATAATTTTTTAACTAGCTTCCTGAAAATAGCACCCGATTATCAGTACATGTACACTCTGTGATGTTTAAATTTGTGACATACCTATTGTAATCCGGAGATACACTTTTAAAAAAAGAAAGCAACGCTTCTGTTACAACATTGCCTATGCACTTCTCTTTCTGGACAGTCTCGTATATCACCGAGCTCTTGGCGGACTCGAATAGATTCTGGTCCCATTCGGTATTCGGTTTCAAACGTTCTTCCTACCATTTGAAAATTGGATTATTTCATTTTTGCGACAGCTTGATTATTTAAATATTAAATACTTACAAGAATTAATTTGGCTTGTTTGTAAGCACCGATTATGTTACTCGCTCTGTAAAGAGAAAAGAACAATTTTCCCTGGCTCGGCCTTGGGATAATGTAATATGAATACGCAAAGCCCAGGCCACGAATCAATTTCCACATCGGGCCCTGAAAATCAAGTAGTTATAAAAACATTGTAAATTAAAAAAAAGATCGAGTTACAAATTTACCTCAAACTGTGACACATATTGCAAAAATACAAGAAGTGGGGCTAGGTCAGGATGATTGTAATCAGTGATACACGGCGAGGCCATACAGAGGAAACTGCTCTCAACTGAACCGATACCAGTAACACATGATTCTTTGAGATTTTCTTTAATTATCTTCCATTCAGGTGTTGAATTCATCCTGATAAAACGGTATTTTTACAATTTACACAGTTCAAATTTTATTTCGATTAACTCACGGCACTCTAATTGGTGACAGGCCAGTCGGAAGGAAGTGTTCCCAAATTGCTGCAGGATCGCTGAAATGTTTAGTTAGAATGTCAAGATTCACAGCCAGATGAGCAGTCATGTTTTCAGGATTTGTCAGCACATCCCTGACATTCTGTATTTCTTTCAAAACTGCTTCTATGCCGTCTTTTTCATCCAAACGGGATAAGACTTGGGTAAGGAAATTGTACTGAACGAGGACGTTTGTTCCATAATGGTTATTTTCTGTTAAAAATTAAAAATAATTATAAACCAATGTGAGTTCACTGTGTTGCAGTTATTCTAATTTACCTTTCCCAAACAAAATCCCCTTCAAAAGATCATAAACCATTTTACTTCCTGAACGTTTATACTCAGGGACATCGTTTATTATCTTCATGGCTATGATTTTCAACCTTTCAGTGGTTATCACAACATTGTAAAGAATTTCCTTAAGCCATTTTATACCCTTATCGTATTTTTTGGGTTCGACCTAAAATTCAAATTAAGCACTTACAAATGCTGTTTATAAAGGAAAAAAAGCTTGTCCATGACTTACTTGAAGCATCAGACAAACTGTATCTGGGTAAGGCCCACAGTTAAAAGTTTTGCCCGAAGTTACACCAATTCTAATTTCCGCAGCCACCGTATCTTCTTCTAACTGATGAACAACTTCTTCATAAGGTACCAAGGTATCACCTCTTTGTACTGGAGACTGGAGAAATGAAGATGTCAACAAATTCAAATAAGGGCGCAGATCAGATTTAATTTTACTGCTGTCCATTAGGACATAAATCTGTTGGGAATTTTGAAAAATAACAGTTAGAACATTTCTAATTTGATGTCTGACCAACATGTATTGGCTTTTTATACTAACATATGCAAAATTAGTATGGAGGTCTGTGAGTTGCATGTTCAGCGGGACTTTATTAAAACTGAATCTAGGATCTGCATCAGGGGACTTGCTAGTGTAGCATTTGATCGAATGGAAATGAATCGAGTCGATTGAAGGGACTGGCACAAACTTCAGCATCTCGTCTGGAGGAGGCTCCTATTGCAAAATAAAATTCAGTCACACTAATCAGTGCTGTCACATTTGCACGATACTAACGTTATTCTGAGCCACAGCTTTTTCTACAGTTTTTTCTAGATTCGCCAATCCTTCCGGACCGAATTCTTTGACCCTTTTTATGACCCTCTCCTCTTCTTCCTCAGCGATCTTCTTCTGAGCTTGAATGCTTGGTATTCCTTTGATCGTCACACTCACTCCGTCGATGAAATATGTTTTCAAGAGATCCAACCAAAACTCTGCCGGTTCCTTCTCCATTTTATCTAGATCACTGATATAATTTAATCTTTGGTGAAACTGTAAGAGAAAAGATTCGATTATATAAAATAAGTTGAAAATTCTTAAATAAAGAACTCACGTCTTCTTTTGTATTGCCATAGAGCATAAAACCAATTACGGTGAAAGCGATCAAATCGTATGGGGTATCTTCCAAATTTGCCATGGACTCGAGCCTCGATCTGTGGATGACTGTGGCAAGTCGTTTCATATCGAGCTGTTTGTCCGTATTTTTAACAAAATCGCCGAGCAATTCAAACAGTTTGTCTTTTATCAAATTAATTTTATCAAGAGGCACGTTACTAAACTGAATCATCATTAACGATTCTGAATTTTCAGTAAGTGAATAAGACACCTATTATTTTCAAAAGTAGAAAGCATAAACATGAATGAAATCATATCAATCATAATGAGTGAAATTTACCCTGCTACAATAAGGATCTTGAATGTCGACAAAAGCTTTTGGAAGTGGACTGACTGGTGTATCCGTTAAATACTTTAATAATGTTGAAAGCGCATTAAACCTAAAAATTATCATTAGCATTATTAAATACAGGTACAGCTATTTTATTCGAACAAATAAATGAACACATCAACTGTTGGACTAAAGCAGGTAAATATGTAAAGTCAAACTGATTTTTAAATGAGTTATTGTTAATTAATTTTTACTTTACATAAACACATTTCTTTTAAAAAGAAAGTATGATAATGATTTAATGGATTCTATGATAATAAATTAAAAACTAAGCAGATTGTTAAAAGAATTTTACTTGTAATATTCTTTGACAACTGATGGTCCCCTCCAACCAATATGGACCATGCCGTTTGATTGATCATCGGACGGATATTCGACCTCCAACTCAGTGCTTTCAAGCAATGGAGGTACAATGCTTTGCCAAGGTCTTACATATCCTCCTCTATCCCCCTACAATATCCACAATTATAAGAGATAGAAATTAAAAAAAAAAAAAAAATTATAAATTTTTAAAGCAACAATTACTTTGCTCAGTATTTTTTCCTCGATCGGCCCTAAAACTTTGAGAACATTGAGGGGATTAGTACAACCCGCAATAATTATAAAACAATTTTCTGGCCTGTAAAATTGTTTGTGGTAAGCCTTGACCTGAAAAATAAATTAAATAAAAAAATAATAAACTGGTCATTTGTAATCGAAATGGCAATAATTTAGTAACAGAAAAATACGAACTTTATCATTGTTGGTGCTTGTTCTTAAATTTTCCATGACGCCTCCAGTTCTCGATTTGTATCCGCATTTGCCAGGGTAAACCAACTTGAGCATGTTACACGAGACAACTTCTTCGGCTGTGTTTTCCACTCCTTGCATTTCGGTAAAGACGACGCCGCCATCTTTTCCTTCACCGTTAATGTGATAAACTTCAGTTATAAAGGCTGATTCCTGAAATTGTTGAAATCACGATGTTGTTTTTGAATGAGCCACCTACCAGGTTGAACTTACAGTAAGAGTGGGGAAGAAAACATGATCGAGATAGATGGGCAAAAGAGACAAGAAACCAGCTTCACCTGCTGTAGTCATTGTGTAACAGGTGTGGTCAGTATCTGAAATAAATTATTAGATGGCAAATTTTGTCAACAATAATTCTGAAAAGCCATATATAACATAACTACGCTAAAAAAAATTATACTATGTACATCATGACAGATGTGTTATCAGTCAATGCTTATGTTCTAGTACTAACAGTGTTATTTTCGTAATTGTTTTGTGTGAATTGAGGGAAAATAAGGCAAAACAAACAGTATGTAATTTACTAAAGCTATTAAAAAAAGGACGGTTAAGGGTGTAAAATTTTAGGGAATGGAACGGGAGAGTTCCTCACATGAACACTTCTAATATGCAAATTCAACATGTTAAATGATGTGGCTATTTGAATAAGTTAGAATTTGACAAGTTATTTCTTTACATCAAGGAATTTCACATGATTTTACACAACTATGGCTTGTTGGCGTTTTCCAAATCCTACACTGACAGACAAATAAATTGGGTAAAAGAGATGGTAAACCCAGCCAAACTATTTCCTTCTTTAATAGGCATAAAAAATAAATTCATAGACTTGGACATAATTAAAAAATAACATGGAACGAAGCCTTGGTAGAAAAAAGCAGACAAGAAAAGGAAAAAGGATGACATTTCCAAAAATCTATGGAAAACAAAATCTTACAGGCACAAGCTGGAGAAGACTAGAAAGGAAGAAGGCCCTCTGCTCAATCAAACTTTTTCTTTTTTTAAAATGAAATAAACGATTGTGTACAATTTACAAAATAAAATAAATCCCTAAATTTTTTCAAAATCTATTTTTTTTTACGAGGGTTCGCAACAGCAGAGGTCATATAAACCCTCAGGGTGGCAGTGTTTTTGGAAAAAAGCCCATTTGAAAGCCTGTCGGGTTCGAATACAGGGCCACTGGATTCAAACCCGGGACCTTTACCTTACAGTGATGAGCACGGTGTCAACGCCTAAACCGATGCCCCCCAAATACCTATATTGCTAGGAATGTTCTTCATAAGAAAGAAAAAAGTTAAGATTTAAATTATTACACCCTCAGACATTTCCAGAACAGAAGTAAGCAAAAAAGTTCATCAAAGGACCATTGCAGAAACTACTGACATAACAATTAAATCTAGGATATGATGATCAAGACTGTTGACTGGACACTGCAGACTATGAAGGAGACCTAGAAAGGTCCCCATACTGTATTAATAATAATAATACTGTGTTTATTTTTAAAGCTTGGACATTTAGTCCGTCAGCTGAGAGTAGGCCTTGATCACAATTAAATATAAATTTCCCTTCATTGTTCAAAAATTAATTACAAATATAAAAATTTCATTTCTTGATTCACACTAAATAATATGTATTTATTTTATATTTAAATGATTACACTTTTTTCTTACATAAGTTAAGCAATAATAATTCAATTGATAAAATAATTCCACTCAAATACGTTTTTCTTATTCCATAAACTAATTACTGATAATAAAAAAGATAACTGATAATCTATTGACATATAATTAAATTACTACAGCATTATTCTATTATGTACATTTAAATAATTAAATTTTCTGACTAATAATATACGATATTTAAGAGCTCTGCATGTATACTGGTACAATGTTTCCCAATTTTTTCCATTTATATATTTCACTAATGTCTCTTTTTCAATCATCACTTTACCAAACCAATCCTGCCAAAAACTACTTAAAACTAGACTCTTACTAATAAAATGAAAAGTATCCTCAACTTCTGCTGTATTATAACAATTCTTCTATCCTCTATTCTACTGAGATCATAATTTTATCCTAACAACCCTCCTCGAACCTTTAATATAGTGCTAATAAAAATGAAATTTGAACTATTGTTTTTAAATTAACTGAGGCCTGTTTGTAAAGTAGGTAAAGTTGTCTCTTCCTTTTTTTTGCCTAAGATGGTTTTTGAAATCAACTTTTATCAAAGTAAGTAAATTGTTACGAGCATTTCTGTCTTGGTATAAGCTTGGTATATTATTGATCTTTAATTTATTGCAGAGATCCTGAAGTTCTTTTGTTTTTTTCTTATTTTCTCTATAAATTTTAATTGCCCATCCTAGCTGATAACAAAACATCGGATCTATACCTGTTTCCAGAAACAACATGTAATCCGAAAATTTCTTGGTAACTAGAGCAATTTTTTTTAGAAAAAAAAAATTATTGACACTTTCTACTTCTTTATTTTCTTTAAAACACAAAGCCTAAGTAGATATTGCCTGGAAGAAGAAGAAAGAGGTGGAACATGTCCTCAGGTTACACACAGGAGTACCTTAACAAAGCTTTAGGATCTAGGAATAATAGAGATTGGCAAGAGTTGGTTATAAAACAAAAGCCAAGGGGTTACAGGCTCAAATTTTGACCTGGCCAAAACCCTAGGCCCCACACTATCCATATTTCACGCCGAGATAGATGTATAGAACTCAGACAAGAAATAGTAAAAAAAAGACTAAAAGTGGACAGATATACAAAATCTCAGGCAGTTAAACAGCACTGATGGCTGGAAAGCTGTTCTGGGAATGCCTAACATATCTCCAACTCCTGGGAAAACGAAACCAGATAACTGATGTAAGGGAAGGAGATTGAAGGCAATGAGCGGACTAACAAATTAGCAAAAGCGGGAGGAGCCCCCACACCCTTTGGAGCAGAACCGCAAACTGGCAAACCTCAAGGCTAAAAGCGGAACTGAACAAATGATGGAGAAAGAAATTACAACACAATGGAAGAATTCACCAGGTTCATCATGATCAAAATGTTTCCTCAACAACTCAAGCCAGGAAAACAAAAATCTACCTCTCTCTCAACAGGAATTAAGGAAAAATTACACGATTTTTTTCTGGTCCTTGTCCAATGAATTACAAATAAAAAAAAAAAAAAGATAAAACAAAGACTGCCATGAAAGAGGAGAGACATATATCCCAATACTGGTCGCAGTGCCTAGGTTGTAAAGACTCCTAAGATATGAAAATCATCTCCTGATATCAACAGACCATATTAAAACCAATACGGATTGTGGAATTCAGCCAAATCTTGCTTCAATACTTCCTCTTCCTGGTCAATAACTAACATTCTTCCTAGCCTGTTAGCTCTCATAGAATGAATATTTTATTGTGTACAATAAGCGCTATTACTGGGCAGAAAAATCAAAATTATCCTTTGACAAGAAAAGATCTATAACACTATACCGCAACTTATATCGGCTATTGTAGTTTGAAAAATCATTCTAATTTCAATTGACCCCTTTAGATACAATCATAAATCTTTAGATCCATTATTTTTAGGTTGATTTACAGGATCGTATCATCCCCAGGGTACCAGTATTTTTGCAAAAAAGAAAAAAAGGCCTATTTGTACGTATGTTGATGACCAAAGGAATCTTTTTTTTTTTTTAATGAATGGCTTTACAAGCAAATTATTTCTTGCATCTTAATTTTTCTACATGAACAAACAACAATGAACTGTTACTATTAATGCAAATATTAAGACAGAGCAACATTTTAAAGAGTTACCCAGATAAAATGTAAACATTAAACAAACTATAATATGTATAATATTTAAAAACAATTATTATTTAATTTAATTAAATTTCTTGAAAAACCAGTCATTTGGTTGATTGATGCCCTCTACCCTTGGCCATTATTTTCTCAAATCCACATCATCTTTCTCCTTGATATGATTTTGTATGTAGAGTTCAAATTCAGGGCCACTGGAATCTAACTCAGGACCCTTACAGTGATGATTCACTGTAATCATTGAAGCCACCCCATGGATTCATTGTTAAAACCACATTTTACATTTCAAATTGCACCATTTTTAGCTTAAATATTGCTAGTATCTACAAAAAAATCAGTCGAATCACCATCACAGTCTAATACATCCTCTTCCTGATCAGATTCAAGATGTCTGAACAGGCATTGGCCGTACAACCTGTTCCAGAGATTGAGTCCTGTCATAGCTTCTCGACTCGTTTATGTTCCGTTTGTCACAAATTTGCGATTAAAATTATGAACATAATTCCAGGCTGTAAATTTTTTTTAGTATTTGTGTTGGTATAAACTTGAGACGCCTACCAGTCCAGGCGTTGGTGCCAGAGGCGAGGCACCTGTTGGCGAGAAGGTCCAGCACACCTTTGTACGGATAATCCTCACTGCCAAGGAAAATGAGATGTTCGAGCGTATGAGGAAGGCCGTCATCGTCGTGAGCCTCGGTCCCTAAGTCAAAAGAAACTCAATTATTGCCGGTTATAGAGCAGGGGGCCGGATTTTCGGACTGATGTTAATACCGAAACAGATGTATCCGTTGACCAGGGGGCCTTCAATTTCGCCGATAACGACGGTTAAGCCGGTTTTTTCCGAGACGTATTTGTAGACGGGTATTGTGTTGTTTGAGAGCGAGGTGGTCATGAGCCTGAAATTGCCGTACGCCTTCGGCTGGCTGTTCTCCTCGACAGGCATTTGGAAGGTCTCGGGTGGAACTTAAAAACACGAAGGATAGAGTAGCTAAGAAGGACTTTGCAACCACAGTAGGATAACGCCGTTTCGTTCGTATCTCTAACGGATTACAAACAGTGAGGAACCCTTCTGAAAAACTCAACCCAAGGGTTGTAAACCTAAAAGGGAAAAAATAATTTCCCAATTGTATAGAATTAGAAATCTTCAAACATTTCAAAATGAAAGAAAGTTCATTGTTCATTATTATATGCAGTAAACAACTGAACAATCGATGTCAGTTGGTAAGCAAGACTTTTTTTTGTCTAACGCTGGTCAATTTTGCGCTTTTTTTTCTAATATTTTATAACCCTATTTTCAATTAAACAAAACTTCCAATTTATTTAATTTTTTTAATTTTACTTTTTGACAATTTTCGTTAATTCTTAGTGAAATATTTACAGTTGTATTTAATGGCGGCAACCAAACACTATTTTAAGAAAAATAAATACATATATAATTTAAAAAATCTTCTCAGAGGTAGAAAGCTCGTTCTTTATATCTTAAATGTTCTGTATAGAGAATGAGGAACTTAATTAAAACAGAAATTAATGATAATGATTATTGTATACTAATTAATCATGTTATTGTCTTTATGATGTTAGAGAAACACCATGTTAGCTTTTATTTGACTGTCAGTTTCATCTTATCACTTGTCAGTTCAAGAGTTTGAAGTTTGGCAACGTGTAACAAAACGCGGCCGCCTTTAATTTCTGTAAGGTTATCACATTGTTACAAATATTAATTTATTTGTTCTCTCGTAAATTTTTTCAAAGTATTAAAAAAAATTATGAGCGGCATAGAGCCAGGGTTTTGTCCAGATTGTGGTTCGATTCTTCCACTGCTAGAAGATGTATCATCAGTTCAGTGTTACAGTTGTAAACGGATATTCGACCACGAAGGTAAACACGTTTGTCATGTTTGATTATGTGCGCTTGTATAAATATGGTGTGTTTTACAGCTTTTGGAACTATGGAATCGAGTTACACGATACACTTCAACACTTACACAAAAGCGAGGAATGTCGATCAAGGCGAGGACGAAGGCCCTATCGTTGAGAGGCGGTGTCCGAAGTGCAACAACGACAAAATGTCGTACGCCACGATTCAGCTACGGTCTGCTGATGAAGGACAGACAGTGTTTTACACTTGTACTAAGTGCAGGTATGTCCTCATTATATTTTTGTGAGATTTCTTACTGTGGTCTGCTGGGCGATGAACTTATAATTTGCTAGTTACTTATCATCTTGGTCTGCCCTTTTATCCATGGTGATATTCTCTTTCAGGCGCGTTTCACCATTTTGCCATCTTCAGTGTTCTGTCTAAATGATTTGATTGATGATCACCCAGATTCAATACTGAAGATGGATAAATGCCGAAATGCATCTTACAGACAAAATCAGTGAGGATAGGGCAGGCCAAGATGATTGTACACGACTATCATCTATACGCTACCTAAAAACCTAATAATAATATTTGAGATGTTGCTTTTTTTATATTGTACTATTTTTTGTAAATTTACTAATAGATTTCCATTGGCAATGTGAATATTCATCAATTGTGGTGATTTTCCAATATTTCCAGCTGAATGGATCTTCATTTTGGATTAAAACTGTTTGCTATTAATATTTATTTTTTTCTTTCAGGCATAAAGAAACGGAAAATTCATAGTTGTTGATACAGAGCGGGTGTATTTAATATCTGTGATTGGTAAATATTTAAGTTGTGCATTATTTATTTCAATTTGTGAATTGAAATGGCCTTTTTGTTTGAACAAACTTGTATAAAAACAACTGATAGTTAAATTTTAAAATGGAATTTTTATGGAAACAGAAAACATAATCATACTTTTTTCAAGTATGTGTACATTAGTTAAATTTGTTTTTACTTACACAAGTAAAAGTTTGAAAATTATTAGTTTAAATATTATGCACATATTTCTTAAATATATCTGTATACGTAATTTTTTACGTGTTTATATTAATTAATAAATGTTGCATTATACAAAATTGTACAAAAAGTTTTAATGATTGTTCTTAACTTTTGGCAAATTTAAGTCCAAAATTAAATGCGTATGCGAATCAGAGTACCAAATTTTAAGTACCAATCAAGTACTGTGTAATTAATAAAGGAAAATCTGTCCAAATGTACTTTTTTTATATTTCAACTCATTTTTCCACTATTTTAATTTTACTCCCTGTTATTGGCTTGTAAATGAATATAAATAAATTGCTATTATAATAATGAAACATTTATTTAAATTTATTTTACAGTGTCCTTTTAATGCAAACCTATTAAAAAATGGTAAATTGTACATATAAACTTGTTTGTATTATTTAAAATAAAAAATAAAACTGTAATGTAAGCTTTCCAATTACCAGTGTATTTATTTATTTTTGTCTTTGCTTTATGCATTGGCCATCTCATTTCTTCTGTACTTTACTACTCCTGTTTTTATTGACTGTAAATTAAAACATCCGATCGTATCCAAGTCACTTTTGGTTTTAAAATAATTATTTATGTATATCTCATATGAATCAAATATTTTCTCTCTCATGTTCTTTGTTGCCTAATTTTTTTAAGCAATCAAAAATGTTTAGAATTTATAATATAATAAAATTTGAACTATTGTACCACAGAGGTATAATTTGGATAAATATATGACCACCATGGTTATAAGTGTGAACAAACAGAATTCACAGCAATATAGATATATCACATAAGATCGTGGAAATAATGGGTATCCACGAATATTATGGACTTGATGAGAAAGCAAATTCAATTGTTACTGTCAAGCTTTTTTTTTTTTTTTTTTTTTTTTTCACTGACGATTTCAAATTTTCTTTGAAAACCGACTCAGTACCAACATGCCAAAGACTAACAGTAATAAATATTTATGAATATGAATATTTCTATTTGTGAACAAGATTTCCATTTTGTTTGAATACGTCATATTTTCATTTATTAATTCATATATACTGTGTATGTACTGTACAAACAAATGTACTGTACAGTACATATACATGCATATGTACTGTACAGTCCTTGGCAAGGTTGGGTCTGAGTCGATTTTCAAAGAAAATTTGAAATTGTCTGTGAAAATTTTAATTATGTCAACCTGTAGAAATATTTAAGATTATTTTGCTCTGCTGATGGCCTTAAAATAGGTCAAAAGATTGGCAGTAACAACTCAATTTGCTTTTTCATGAGATGTGTAGATCTAGAGTATTTGTGAGAAGAAAAGTAGATGCATCTATTACTTCAAACATAATGGGTATGCTTTCACTTCATAAAACACCAATTCGTGAACCATCATTTTCAACTAATGTAGCAAAAAAAATTTTTTTTAAACTAAGAAATTCCTTAAGTCACTAAATATATTTTACTTAAACAATTTTAGGGTGTTGTTTTCAGAAAGAGCCTGGGATTTTGCTGATAAATGGATAATTAAAAATTATCAGTCGATTTGAACTCAACTGTTTTGTGCTCCCCCCTCACAACAACGAATTGACTATTTTTGTAGTAGAATATGAAAACAAGCGAATTTCAAAACACAAATGTTCTAAATGCAAATATATGATGTGTATTTAATGCAAAAATAAAAACGAATCTCAGGAGTTTAGATATAAAAAAGAACGGAGAAAAAAAATATATATATTAAAAAATCGCCGGAGCAACACTGTCGCCTCCTCGTTTAATAGAATTTTTGCAGCCATTTTATCGTTAAAGTTGTTTCCCGGATCGAATAAAAATTGTTTTGACTGTTTAATGCTTCCACCCATTCGCAATTTGTTGCCAGCCTTTTTTGTCGACGTCTACAGAAACTGGTAAGGAAATCGCATGGGAATCTTGCCCCGGCCGGCCTTAAAACCGTTATTCTTCTTTTTTACCTTATCATAATAATAACTTGGACAAAAAAAATGATCAATAATGACAGGTAGACTCCTGGGACAGATGTAAATGACATTAGAAGCTGTGTTGAAACGACGTTTTGCAGTTGTTAACTTAAGCGAATTACTGTTATTTCCTAACAAACTAATTTTCTTCTTTCTGTGCTTAATTTAAAAAAATAAATAAATAATCTCCAATATAAAAACACAAAAAAATCAATCATCCAGTATCAAACTATTTGTCTGCCTGATAAAGCATATTAAAAGACTGTACTTGCTATTCTCCTACAATAAATATATTCAAATGTGAAATATAAACCTAGCTTATAAGGATGGCCTGTTGTCAATTGATTAAAACTTGCATGAAATTAATTCAACTTTTTTATATCAACTCATCTATTGGAAAAAATCTAGGCCATACAATTATTTATGTGCTGATAGTACATATGCAAGTGAGAGTAATATTCAAGTATTTATTTAAACTATGTAGTATCTGCTAGGAAATAAAAAAACTATCTTTTAATGAATCGTTTGCCTGCCAGGTAAACAGGAATATTGATTCATCTTTTTGTTAATATCCCTCTAAGTTTTGGGTTGTCTGGAATATAATGCAATGTTTTCATGTTTTCTTCCAATTACCCCTCTATATAATAAACTGTATATATTTGATGGATCAACTTTTGTACGAATGTCAACATTTTTTAATTCCCTTCTAAACAAAAATGTTTGTTTACCTAAATAGCATTTTGTTACTTGGGAATAATTCAATCTTTACTAAGATAATAATATCAACGCGTGATTTTTGCGTCATTTCATTTTACGAATTTAAACTCGTTTGGAACAATGCCCATGCGGCCAGAAACATTAATGAAGTCTGGCACTGTGAGTGAGAATACCGTTCAGAGATGGTTTAAAAAACTTCGAGAGGGAGACTTTAGTCTTGAAGACAAAGAATGTCGTGGAAGGATTTCTTGCCTAGATTATGTTCTGCTAGCTTTGAGAATTTGCAGAGAATTTTTCAGTTTGCAAATTGACCGTCGCTGACCACCTTAAGGCAATCGGAAAGGATAAAAATCTCGAAAGTTGGGTTTCTCACGCATTAAATGACAGGCAAAAAAATCATTGTTATGAAGTTTACACAACATTTCTTTTTCAAAACAGAAACAAACAATTTCTTGATAGAATTGTTACTTCTGATGAAATGTGGATTCTCTACGGTAAGAGCAGAAGTTTTGGACAGTGACTCGACAAAGGAGCTCTACATTTTCCAAAGCCCCTAGCTCATCAAACAAAGATGATGGTGACTCTTTGGTGAGCTTCATTTGGGCTGTTTTACTACAGATTGATTATTGTTAAATCCTGGCAAGCAGTCAATGCCAAATTGTATTGCTCTCGAAATGTAGCAATACACTAGAAATTGGCATTATTGAAGCCAACTTTGGTCAGAAAGGGCCGATTTTGTAACATGACAACAACTAATTTTTCAGATACCTGGACAACATTTTCCATCATAACTAATTTATTGATCCAAAGTCATTAAAAAATGTGTTTAAAGAATTTGTTAACAATAAAGACTCCAAATTCTGTACAGAGGGTATAGAGAAGTTGTCATGATGTTGGAAGAAGTGTATTGAGAGTGATGAAGGGTATTTTAATTAATAAAATATGTTTGAAATAATTTATATAATTGTTCTTATTTTATAACAATAAACCTACATTATTTTCCAGACAACTCATTAATTAACATAATTAATATGGTCAATTATTACTATTAAATACATATGTGGATTAATATAATTTCCTCATTATGTTTTCTAATGTTAAAAATAAAAGATACAGTATCGCTGGATGTCCTAAAAACTGGTTATTTCTCTCTTTTCCTAGCATAATGTCTTATGGACTGCTCTTGTAGGAAAGTATTAGTCAATATCAAATCTTATTGGTGCAAAAAAAAGTTAATAATAATAATAATACTGGGAAAATAAAAAATTGGACATTAAAAGTTCGTTTATTGAATCTAACATATGTGATATCTTTGTACATTTATTTTAATCTAAAATTTGTATTTTAAAAAAGTTAAAAACTAAGTAACTTTTAGAGATATACACATCATAAAATCAGGCATTAGACTGTTCAATTACTTACCTGAAACTATTACAGCCTTGTGAAAAGATTTAATAAAGTTACTTATAAATGGCTAGTGCAAAACCTATGATGTAAAACAATATTTTATATGGGGTAAAAAAACCAAGTATTCTGTTGCAGCTATTTTATTTCAGTTGTATTTTTCACTAACAAATCACAGTCAAATTAAGCCTGTAACAGGAAGTGTTACGTAAATAAAAAAATAATTATTAAAATCTCACCAAGCACAAAATTTCAATTCATCCAACCATATTTTAATTTAGTTTTTATCACATACATTTATATATTGAAAATAATTGAAAAAAGTAGTATTGAGATAGAGTATTATTTGCAAGGAAAATTAAACAATGAATTTTGACAAACACCAGTATCGCTGCACTCATGTCATGGTGTTTTTACTCCATATGTATTCGTAAAAGGAAAAATTATTTTCCATAAGATACCATGGATTTCAACAATACTAAGAATATTTTAATCTTGATGTTGAAGGTATAGGCCTCTACATTACTTATATTGACATTGCCCTTTTATTTAAACATGTAAAATTTATGGCGAATAAAGTTTGAGTCTTGCCTCTCCCTGTTTAACCCTGATCAACCACTGAAGATGGTGAAAAGCTCAAATGTGTCTGTAAGGAAGCAGGAGCACTTCTTGTGCTTCTTCTTCTGTATTAAGAGAAATAAAAAAAAGGAGGAAACCCAGGAAGAAAAGTGTGGGTTCATCCATTGTTACAAAATCAATAAACAGGTGCTTTTACAACTACTGTCGGGTCACTACCTTCAACCTTTTTGTTGCTATACTTATACTTCATGTCCCTGTGTCACTTTATGTGGAAATAATTGATGATTTTTCCTTGAATATTTCTCGCACGTGGAACCTTAAATATTCTTGAAATCAACATTTTTCATTTTGACTTTATTATTTTAAAAAAGTCTAGACTATACAATTAATCATTAATTCACTACTTTCGTGGTCCGCTTGACCAATTAATACATGACAATTAATTAAGGTTTTTAGTTGAGATGAAAAAAAGTTAATGGCACGAGAGGGATTCGAACCCACGACCTTCGGCTAGATGCGCCGCTGCACTACCACCTGAGCTATCGTGACCTCGACCCACTCGGACATCAACTCCCCATCTCATAAGGTGGGTTTGAGATGGGGAGTTGATGTCCGAGTGAGTCGAGGTGACGACAGCTCAGGTGGTAGTGCAGCAGTGTATCTAGCCGAAGGTCGTGGGTTCGAATCCCTCTCGTGCCATTACCTTTTTTTCATCTCAACTAAAAACCTTAATTAATTATACAATTAATGTATAGAATGCGGCAATTCTTTTTTTCTTTAGCTTGTTGATCTTGTCTGTATTTTTTCATTTTTATCTAATCCATGAGCAATTTTTTTTGTCAATTTTAATCACTGGTCACTTATTCACTATTAATTCTTATCTAATTAATTTTTTAAAATATTTGTTAAAGGTCGATAGATAGATAAAGATATATATTAAACATTTATGCAAAGTAAACAAGGAATGCCAGATAAACAAATCAATAAATCTTGTCACAATATTCTGATTGTTTCAAATAATATCAATCATTTTGCTAGTAGAACAATTAGGCTTAATGTTACGTTAGTCTTCTTGTCAGCTCGTGTGCTGTAGTTTTATATTTTGTTGGGCTACTTCAGGAATAAGACAACGGATTCGTAGTTTTAATTTATAGATAAATCAATTACAGGGGCATCCAATTAACCCTCATCAGTTTTGTATTATTTTTGTACATATGTTTCTGAAAAGAAAATGGGACAGAAGAGAGGTGCCCTTGAAATTAATTGTTTAATTACTAACCCCCTGGTTACGTTTTTTTTCCATTGAAAAAGCCCATTTGGAAGTATTCTGGGCCGCTGAGATTTGAGCCCAGGTCCTTCCAGTGATGGATTGCTGTGTCAAAGCTTAAACCAATGTGCAAATAAAGAATAATACGGTTGTCTTATTCCCAAAGGTAACCTGTACAAAATAAAATAAATAAAAAGTTCTAAAAATGACTATAAATCTCTATAAAAAATAAGGATTTCAATATTTAAACTTTTCATGTACACCTGTATGTTTGTTAATCTTAGTACTACTATAATAAATGGCAAAAACTATTTACAATATAATAATTCGTTTACAGATTTGTAATGGGTTGTAATCAACAATTTTCTCTGAGATGGAACAACTACTTACAACATATTACGCATGTTTTTAATTCGCTGAGAGATGAAGAAAATCTGGTCGATGTGACGTTGTGCTGTGAAGGGAAGAAGATTCGCGCCCATAAAATGTTACTGTCTGCATGCAGCACTTATTTTAGAGATATTTTCAAGGTAACGTTGACGAACTGAGAAAATTAATTCGAGCTGAAAAATCGCAATTGTTCTTATAGGAAAACCCTTGTCAACATCCAGTCGTTATATTCAGAAATGTCAAATATGACGACTTGGAAGCACTCGTGTCGTTCATGTACAAGGGCGAGGTGAACGTTGAACAAGACGGTCTTTCTTCATTTTTGAGCACGGCAGAATTACTAGAAGTAAAAGGACTGACAGGCAGCGGACCATGTATACCAGTAAATATGAATTATTTCTATTTGTATTATTTCAAAATTAATTTTATGTTCGTTAATACCAATGTTTTGAACCAGGAAACTATCGTCAAAGATGATGTTTCAAACAATGAACCAAAACAAACGAGCAAACAGTCTTCCATGCCTAAAACTACCAAACCGGATTCCCCTGCCTCAAAGAAGCGAAAAATTATCTCTTCTGATGATAGCCCACCTCCTCAAATCAAGGCTGAACCAGATTTTGGTGATCAGGACTATTATGATAATCAAACCCAAGGGTCACCTTCTCCAGAAATACTCAAAACAGAAAACTTGGATGTGCCTTGGGATGACAGTATTAACGATTTAGGTACTGACTAATATTGTACTTCATGAAAGGAACATTGACAAAATATTTAATGCATTCGTTATTGAGTAAAGATTCCAAATTTCTTCAAGTTCTTTTGTAGTTTTAATTTTAATACAAATTCAAGACAATTATCTAACTTAAATTTAATTTTTTTTAATAGGTAGTACAGCTGGAACGTCAAATGATAGCAACTTACAGGATTCTTTACAAGGTAAAACATAATTGAAAGTTGGAAATTTTCAAACTTTTTTTAAACAATTTTTGATTAAATTTATTATTTTTGATATGTTGTTACCAAATTTTTTGGTCCAAATTCCCAGTTATTTATAAATTATTCAGAAATCGTGAGATACGGACTGGTGTGATGTAGGTTTCAGAAAAACGTTTTCTTTATCGTGCCGTTTCGATCTTTATTGAGATCATCTTCAGGGCTCAAAGTGTTTGTCTTCTGTGCAATTGTGCCATTCTTGCGTGTCGTGCCGAGAGTGCCAATCACCACACATACTTAAACAACTATATTTTTAATCGTTGTTGCCATAAGTATAATCTGTAACTTGTTAGCATCAAAACGACTAGCAAATAGAGAAATTTTATTATAAAAATTTCTTCCATTCTTGCGTGTCATGTTGAGAGTGATAAAGAAAATGTTTTTCTGAAACCTACATCACACCAGACCGCATCTCACGATTTCTGAATAATTATCGATTAACGGTCACTAATCACCACATGTTATTTATAAAATTCATTTTGGGGAAGAAAAAACGCATTGATCCCCTTTCCAAAATTAACAATTTTAAAATGCTTGTGTGTCAATTATGAAAGATCTAAAGTGTTTTTTTACTATTTAGAAAAAATTCTTTTCACAGTATTGGCAAACGGTTTATGGCGAAGATTGCACCCCTCGTTGAAGAGATTTGGCTGTGATGAGTGTGGAAAGGTCTTCAAGCATCCGCGATCATTGGATCACCATAAGAAAATGCACGAAGGGAGGACGACGTGCCCTTTTTGCCGAAGGGTCTTCGGACGAATGTACGCCCTAAGGTTGCACATGTCCAGTTCACACCCAGGACAATCTATGCTCCAATCTACAAAGTCACATTGATAAATTGTATTTTTCATTCAAGCCTGAAAAATTGTCCTAGATGTTCACCTCTTGGTAAGTACATAAAATAAATCAAGTACTCTTAAGGCCCTTAAGCAGTACGGATATATTTTTATTCCGATTTGTTTTTCAAGATGAAGTTTTTTATCATAAGTGATAAATACTTTTTTTCTCGTGTAAGTCACACACTTCCGAACTATAGAATATCTGGGAGATATTTATTTATTTATTTGGATTGCATTTATTAGCAAATTTTCATAATAATAGAATTACCCCCCCCCCCAAAAAAAAAAAAAAAAGATGCTTAAAGAGTATATTTGTGATTAATTGAATCACTTCGGGATTCCTCTTGCAAAATTTCTTATCGTTAAAAATGTTGGTTTTAAGACATCACAAAAACAATAATAGGGAAATGCAATATAAATATATTAACAATTTTTAGTCAGCTGGATAGTGATTTTTATTTTATAAGTTATTTATTTTGTTAGATATAAAGATTTTATTATTTGTTATGTTTTTAATTTGAACAAAATTAAAATCTCATCTTGAAAAATGCATTTTTTTAAATTCAAGGATGAAACAAATTAATTTTGTTTGCCTCCAATAATCGCTTTGTATAAATGTAAATTTCCATTTTTTGGGGCTTCCTTTCCAATTCGTGCCCCTCAGTCTAACAACAATATTGTTTGACAATTTTTAAGGCTTAAAACGATTTTTATTGATGAATCGAAGATGGAAAAACAATGCGTGATCTGACAGGTCAATATATTCATTGTATACTACGATATATATAAGTCATTTATATGTTACCGATTGATACCAAATAGATTTTTAACAATGAAAGTTTAGTTTTCTCAGTCCAACTAGTCTAAGGTCAATATAATTTCGTACTTAAAATACACCACTATATTTTGTTATAAACCAGAAGGTAATACAGTCAATTTAAAAGAGGAAAGTTTCTTTTATATTTTTATAGAAACTTGTATTTCATAGCATACTGCCTTTTATTCACTTTTATTTAAAGGGAACCTATTTTCCTAGTCACTGTAAAATGCTAATTTTTTAATACAAAGAAGATATGCTATTAACGATTTGCTATTTTATAAATTATAAGTTCATTTATTTTATTTATTTATGAAAGAAAAAAATTATATTGTAAAATTAGTTTATATATAAGTATTTATAAGGAGACAAGAGATAATGAGTATTAGCATTTCATAGCATTGCCTTAACTTGACACTAGTCCATATTTTCTAATCAGTTATAGCAGTTGTTTATTAATTTCAGAGAAATAGTAGACATATAATTTTATAATGTATTTTAATCATAATATAATTATTATTCATGTTCCTCTATTTTATAAATTGCTTACTATGTTAGTTTATAATAAAGAACAGTAGTTATGTTAGAGACATAGTCAAATTCTCCAAAGAGTGGTAGGAAGTTTTAAGATTTTGGTTTATTTTCCAAAACAATCTGATGTGAGATGCTTTATATTTCCACTGTCTAGTCAATATTTATGATTACTCCAATTACATTCTGTTCTATTTATACTAGTGTTTTCTTCCCATATTAATGTTTCGAGTGTGTCGATGCCACACCGAAATTTTGTTGTTTTGCCAATTTGATTAAAACTGAGAGAGAGAAATGTGATAGTCCAAAATGCGGTGGGTTGATAACTATGCTATTCAGTAGATCTGTAGATTTTTCCCCTTTCGACCCAAGCCACTGCAATTTACAACACCAATAGCATTATTAATCAGCTTCCATTCTCTGGGTAATAGCCTAATATTGCACCAGGTTTGTAATTTATCGAAGAAGGAGATTCACTCCAAATTAATACACTCTCATGGCTTTAATTCTGAGCATAATATATAGTGAAACATAGAGGTGTGTTCTATTTTTATATGTTTATGTTATTGTAAAAACAAAACACTGAAAACAATGTTCTATGGGGAAAAAATGAATATTTAAGAAAAGAAAACAATGTAGTGTCCTTGTTTGTGATTAAAATAAAAACAATATTTATCCTTAAAAGTTTATTTTATTTATTTTTGTTACACTCCAAACCTATTTACTCCATTTTAGATATTGTGAAATTTATGTTGAAGTCTTGTTGGGCGGCAGACGGACTAAATGTTCATAGTTCATGCTGTATGTTATAAGCAAAAGGAAATTTGGCGGATTTTTATCCATCAGATACATTTTACTATGTTTTTTTAAAAGTATGTTACACTCAGGGTCAGTTGGATTCGAACCTGGATCTTACTTTAAAAATTTTACTGTGTTAAAACTTTGACTGCTGTGCGCCCCCTTCTGTTTGTTGAATAAGTGCCATAATTGAATAACTTATGCAGATTTATCTTGTTAATTAACTTTAAAGAATAAATCAATTAGATTCACGTTTATAGTAGTGTGCTGTTAAAATAAATTATTACCATTGTAAGCACTGCTTTGAACTTTCTTACAAATGTATGTCTTACAAATCTTTTTATATAAATGATTATATTAATATTATGGAAAAACTTTTATTTTTTGTTTGAAAGAATGTAGACACATAATTAAAATTAAATTTAATGCACAATAAGTAAAATGCTTCCTAGTCAATTTTTACATGAAAGTCATTAAAATTATGAAAGCTAAATGCATTTCATTTTCTGTTTCTAAAGTGCAAGCTGTTCTCTCTCACCAATTTTACATATTTAAACTTGTATGATTTGTCTCTTTCCACCTGAAAAAAGAAAAATATGGTACAGGAAGTTAAAATTAAAAAGATCGCTAAGTTTTGATTTTATTATATCATTTGTTTTATTCATGTAGTAACATTCATGATTAAAATTTCAGATAGAATTGTTATTCCTAGCAAAATACAAGTATTTTTAATATATTACAATATGTACCATTTTAAATCAGAAAAACAATAAAATACAATATTTATAACATATAACTCATTGGGAATGTAACACACTTTTTTAAAAGAGGTTTGTTTGTGGGATGGTAAAATAGGAAAAAACATCAAAATTTAAAATAAACAAAAAATTACACTCATTAATTATATAAAAAATATAATATCCTTTCTTAAGAAGAATCTTATCACAGCTTGAACTAAAACAGTACAAACTGCTGTTGTATCAGCTTTATTAGGGTTAAGAAAGGCTAATGTTTTTGTTTTTAATACATATTCCCATGAAAAAAAGAAATAAAAATAATAATTTAAAAGTTCTATATACATTAGGACAATAGAACATTAAGTGTGATTTATATACAATTTGTACAACGATGGCGCAATTATTGTTGTTGGACTATGTTGAACCATGTATTGGGCTGGTTTGTATCAGAATCAGGTAGGCTGATGACTAAATGGAGCCCGTCTGGTGTCTGTACAGTCGTGCCGCCCTCTGCGGCCTCGACCGAAAACTCACCTGTGTGCCTCGAAGCAGGAATGACGAGTGCATGTTGGCCGTCAAGGCCCTCAGCAATAGCGGTCGACTCGATCTCAAGGGCTTCGCCATCGGCGAATTGTACCTACAAACATCATGAATTAAATGGATGAAATTATTTTTAAAATGACCGATAATACCTGTCCATCGATAATTAGATGGCCAACTTCCTCTGTGTACTGGCCGTCTTCTCCAATTTCTTGCCCCTTTCCTTGTATAATGACGTGTTCTTTTAATTCTCTAATATACATTTTGGTATCATTTGGATTATCCTTTAAAAATGGTGAAAACATTTAGATTATTAAACATTAAAACATTATTGATGTGTAATATTACTAACCCCTTCTTCAAGCCCAGTCTCTTGATTTTCAGTTATTATCATTTCCATTCGAGATTCTTGCTCTTGTTGCGCTATGAGTTCATCGTCTGTCGTAAGTCTTGGCTGATTCACCACTATTGTGTCATTAATATGGCCCTTTAAATGCATAATTTATTTAAATTTATTAAGTAAAAAATTGAAAATTAAAACTTAATGAGAATATTAAATAAATATTACCTGAGATTGCATGTGATTGTAGAGTTGCGGTTTCCTCATGAAACCGACACCACATACCAAACATTCATAGGGTTTTTTATCGCTATGGACGAACCTATGGGCATTTCTATTGTCACGGCTGTTGAAAGCTTTTCCGCAAACCTTTAAATATAAATCTCGTTAAAACATGTCACCCTAAACACGAGTAACAAATGTGAATTTACCTCGCAGAGATACGGCTTTTCACCAGTGTGAATTCGTCTATGTTTTTTAAAATGTTCAGGATAAATAAAAGTTGCGCTACACAGCTGGCACTTGTAAGGCCTTTCACCCGTATGAGCCGCCTTGATGTGGTAATCCAGCAGGCGTCGCCTTTTAAACGCTTTACCACATTCAATACACTGATAGCGTTTATCATCATAATGAGTGGCTCTTTTGTGAGATTGTAAATTGCTTCTTTGTCTTAAAATTTCATTTTGACAATTAATTTCAATATTTTATGTATAATTAGATAGTGAAAATAGAATCAATACCCAAAAGTTGCACCGCAGAACTCGCACTGATAAGGCTTTTCTCCGGTGTGCGTCCTTTCGTGATCCCTGATTTCAGCTTTTCTTGCAAATGCTTTTCCACACATCCTACAGACAAACGGCTTAAATCCTGTATGGATTACACAGTGGACTTCTAAATTACGACCGGAACTGAAAGATTTCCCTAAAAGCAAAAGGACATGAGTAAGTTAAAACATTTTTTCGAGAGAAATCAAGCAATAATCTGTGCAAAGTGCAATAATGAATGAGTGAATGAATGAATGAATAATAGTATTTATTTACATGGAATACAACAAACTCAAAATATGTTACAAAATACTTTAAGGCATGGACAACAGTCCGTGCAAAGTGCAATAATTACATAGGTAAGGAGATACACCAAAATAAAAAAACTACCCAGTGATAGCACTTATCACTTGCAGTACCGAGGATACTCAGGTGCATTGAAAAAATTAGGAACTATTGGGGTTCAGTGGCGGTCGTGTTCTCATGTATCCTAGTCCCTTTATTTGTATTTTATTTTTTTTTTTGTCAATTTGTGGGGGTAAGCTTTGTGTGGAAAAGTTCTACCTGTATTTATCCGGCCCCATTTTGAACAAAGCGAACCTATACTGCACTTCACCCAACTTGTTCCAACTCCAGGTTTAAAAAAAAACTTTCCTTTTTGTCTCAAAATTCAGCAAAATCTGTATTAAACGTATGGTATTATTGATGTTATCATGAATTTATTTCTTCAAACTGGTTCATCACAATTTATTACTTACAGTTAAATTATTGATTGCATGTTCATATTATTCATTCAAATTTTTTTGGATTTCAGAAAGAAACTAATGTTTCCCAGGAACACCGAATTTTTGGGACTTTATCATTGTATTATTAGTATTATAAATACTTTATATTTTGTTGCTAAATAAGGATGTCTGAGAAACAGTCATAGTTGCCAACCCCCGGGCTTCTGGCCTCCAAAAAGGAAAAAGACTTAAAAAATTCATGACAGAAGAGGAAATTAATGTAATTCTAGAATAGATTTTGCCCTAACCAACCCTCTTTATGTTTAGTGTTTTAAAAAATATCACAATAATTAACAATTGTATGAATTGCATTACCCTTAATTTATAAACGTATTTCATTGTGCATTTAATTTTTTTAGATTGTATTTTTACAGAAATCTAGTCTTATATTTTATCTCGTCTAAATCAAATTCTGTTACAAACTTTGACTCAGGATACATTTACCTGACTAGGAACAACCCTATTTTCAGATAAAACGAGGAAAATACCAATAAGGACAAAGAAAAGTAGAACTAGAAACAGGTAAAAAGGTAAGCGGATTGAACAATGAAATAGTGTCAACTGGCCATGGGACGCTCCTGAGCGTTCTTTTTCGAGCAGGTAGTGGGGGACAGTGCCTTGGCTACAAGGTGCTGCCATATTGAAAGTGTCTAATCACTCGCACTCTCTAAGAACAGGTCACAAGATTATTGCCTTTTTAGACGTTGAGGATTGTTGGGAAAAGATCGGGAGGAAAGTTGTTGTACATGGGATTTAGAGTGGGATTGAGGTTAGTGTGTAATTTTTTGCAGCTGGAGTTTGCAGCTTCATTTAAAAAGGGGACATTTAGGTTAATATGGATAGGTAGTTGAAAGCATAGAACTGGGTGTTGACAATGGATCTAAGGGCTTGTGACTGTAAGGTGGATTCTGTGGAGATTTGAAGGTTTGGCTGAACCCCAGTTTTATGCCTTATGTCCACACTGGTTTCAGTATTAAATTATATACGAGTGTTTTGTTGCAATGGGAGAGTTTCATGTATGGAGTGAGTCATTTGTCTAGATACAGCCCTAGGCTGTGTTTCAGTGGGAAGGGGTGAGGATATATTAAATTGGAGGTAGAATGATGTGACAGAGGATGAAGGATGTATTTTGTGACTTTGTTGTTTAGTTTGATTGGCCATTTTTTGAACCACTTTGTGTCTAGAGGATTTGATGAGCTATGATGGGATCAGGGATATAGTGTCATCAGTGTATGTTATGATAGTGGTGTGGGGATGGGAAAGCAGAATACACCAAGTTCGGTAGCAAGCCCACCATGCCTCAGGTTTAAAAAAAATCAATAAATCAGTACAATTCTTTTATAAAATAATTACCGCAGATCTGACAGGGGAAATTTCTAGGAGCGGTGTGGGTCCTTTCATGCTGGGCATGGCTGGATTCGGTGGCGAATGTTTTGCTGCAATGAGAGCATTTGAAAGGTCTCGGCCGTTCGACATGTGTTTTTTCATGAGCTTTATGAGAATATTTAGATGCAAAATCCTTCCCGCACTCAGAACACTTATAAGGTCTTGCCCCTGTGTGCGTATTCATATGCTCATCAAGCATGTTTCTAGATCTAAAACATAAACAATATAATTTTTTTGTAAAATTTTACTCGTTTAATTTTTTTTTTTTATGATCATTACAGGCAAAACTCTGTAGTATGTTATTGTTTAAATTAAAGTACAATTTTACTTTTAGAGAAGTTAAATTTGTAATAAATAAGACTAGTAAAAGTAGCATGATGGTAATACATATTAACAAGTTATACCACATATAAATTTTATACTTACAAAAATGCTTTGCCGCATGCTTCACAGACGTGATTTTTTTGCTGTGGGAAGTGCATTCTTTTGTGCACTCTGTAGAGGCGGATGTTTGTGAATACCCTTTGGCATACATCGCACTCATACTCACCTTCATCATTCCCTACATGTTCGTCAATGTGCTGTGACATATCCGCCCTTTTGAGGAACTCCATTCCGCACATATCACAGATGTAAAGCCTTATGTTGTGTGTCGTTTTCATATGGGCTACAATAGACTTAGCCTCGCCTTGTACTTTCTCATCGGCTGAACACAGCAAACAAGTGTAAATTTTCCCGTCTCTGCTTATAATCATTTGAGGAATAATGTTGCTAAAGTCAGTGTCGGTAACTTTAGGCTTCGGTATCGGCTTCCTTCGAGGTGCCAATGGTTTCTCTTCGGCATCGTCGTCATCATCGCCTTGATTGTCCTCATCCGATTCTTCTAATTTCATATCCACCCCACTGGAATTTCCCTCTACGAGTCCTTCCTGTGATCTCTTGATCCCATCGCTTTTTTTATTCATTTTCGGCACGTAGTCAGCTGTGGGATCATCATCCACTCCAACTCCCAGGATATCATCTTCAGCCATATCTTCCTCTTCAACATCGTCCAAAACAGCTTCCTGAAATTTCAGATTATATAACAATTGATTTAAAGGGTGTACTGGTATTACGCCTTACAACTACTTCAGAGGCAGTTCCATTTTCTGCACTTTGCACATTTTTTCTTGGACGCCCCGGTGCTTTCTTGGTGGACGGGGATGGTTTGTCTTTATTACTGGTAAGGTAAATAACTCTCGATGGCGTTTCCACATCGTCTTCCTGTGCACCACCAACTTTCCTTGAATCAAAAACAAAGTCAGGTTTTTTTAAAACTATAACACTTGATTTGCAAGTTAAAAATAAATAATAAAAAATTAAATCTTCTGACCAAGTCATACAAGTGTAGATGTCACTAGCACAGTGATTGAATAATTATTTTTTCAGGGAGACTGGGCAGACCAGAATGATAGGCGATTGTTGAGAACATTTGAAATATTGAGATATTTTGTCTAGGTCTGCAGGGTGATGAACTTTTAGTTTTTATCCAATCATATTGATCTACTGAACCTCACTGTTTTGTTATGTTAAGACACATTTTTTGCTTCTTGTCATCTTGGTCAGGGATGTCAACCACATTTTGCCAAGTGTTTATAATTAAATTGTACAAAAGAGATAAAAAATTAAATATTGTAATTTCAGGATTATTAAAAAAAACCTAAATAATGTACTTGAATAATGCTTGACATGTCAACTTACCTTTCCAATTTATACATTGGTTTAAGTTATTAAAGTTCAGAGGTGGGTTTGTGTTAGTTTTCTAATTTCTTTTACTGCCCAAGAAATATTTTTTATTTAACGATTTTTTTCTTTGTAGTTTGGTTGTTTCTGATTATTCAAATGTTTTTTTTTTACATCTGTGACATACTACAAGTTCACGACTTAAGATAGCAAAAATAAAAATACAAGGATAGGCAGAAAAGAAGGATAGAAAAATGATGAAATTACAAGTTCATCATAGACTCGTTGAGGCGGTCAGGAACCAGAAAGTATTTTACATTAACACCTTTTTCATTTTTTGGCTGATGTTACAACCTTTATTCAGGTCATCTTCAGGGCCTGGATTAATTACAAAACATATGTTGAACCAAGTATTTCATTCTCACATAAAGTGTGATATGTGAAATTGTTGTGAAACATGAATTCTGCTGTTTTTATATGATTGTGACAGGATGGGGAACACGGTAAATCTGGGAAATTTTCACTGATCATAGGCGGTTTTATTTTACTCAAAAGAGGTTGAGAATGGGGATTTTCTGGATTGGATTGGTGATTTGGCATTTATTCAATTGATCAGTTACTAATATTGAAAAGAAAGTTAATTATTATGGTAAATAATGAAGGAAAAGGAGATGTAAAAATAAAGTTTAATAGTTTATGACGGCATATCTAATGGCTGAGTTTGCATGTTCTATTCTAAAATTAATGCTGTGTGTGCATCTCTGTTAATGTAAACCGTTAATTACATTAACATTAATTAGAGAACAGAACATGCAAACTCAGCTGAAGCTACACTACCATTTCTTCATTTTTTTTTTAATCTTGTCTTTTGTAATCATTCTGGTATGTCAGACAAATTTCTAGCCACCTTCAGAGATGGGTTTGTCTGCCTAGAAAATATATTTTACACACTTAAATTTTTTCTTTGTAGTTCCGGCATTTCTGATTATCTGTGGCATGTTACAAACCTTTTTTTCCTAATCCGGTCTGTACGATTCATATCAATTTTAGCATCTTTAGAGATGGGCTTGTGTACTAGTTTTCTAATTGCTTTTAGTGCCCATGAAATTTTTTTTTCAATCTTTTTATTTATTAATTAATTTTTTTGCATATGAGGCATTTCCATTAATAGGTGTATCTCACGTCCATAACATACTAAAATTTCACGACTGTGGATGGATAAAGTAGAAACACAAGGATAGGCAGAACAGAAAGATAGAAAAATGATGAAATTACATGTTCGTTCATCAAAGATTTCAAATAAAATGTCACTGTTTTATACAACATTTTTTCTTTCCAATCCTTTCTTTGGGTTTGAACTTATATAATCATTCCAGTCTGTCTGACGTATTTTAGTTATAGCAATATTCAAAAGCGAGTGTATTTTCTAATTTCTTATATTACCAACAAAATGTTTGACATTTTCATATTTTTTCTTAATAGTTTGTCGTTTCTGATGATCTGTGAAATACTATCAGCCCACGACTGAATATAGGAAAAAGCAAAAATGCGTCTCACAGATGAAAACAGTGAGGATAAGCAGAACAGAATTATCCAAAATATTTAAATTATATGTTCATCACAACATAAACTTCAAGTGTAGAAATGTGTGGTGATTAGTGACCGTTAATTGATAATTATTCAGAAATCGTGAGATGCAGTCTGGTGTGATGCAGGTTTCAGAAAAACATTTTCTTTATGGTGCCAACGTTTCGATCTTTATTGAGATCATCTTCAGGGCCTGGGATTTACAAACATTGTTTACATTTAACAAATACCCGTAGGATGTGGAAAAAGTGAATTTATACAATGCAAAATATATTTGTTATATTCAATCAAAGAATTTCTACTCACTCAAAGTGTTTGTCTTCTGTGTAATTGTGCCATTTTTTTTCCACATCCTACGTGTATTTGTTAAATGTAAACAATGTTTGTAAATCCCAGGCCCTGAAGATGATCTCAATAAAGATCGAAACGTTGGCACGATAAAGAAAATGATTTTCTGAAACCTACATCACACCAGACCGCATCTCACGATTTCTGAATAATAAACTTCAAGATTCAAATTTGACGTCTACTAGTGTTTATATTAAGATATAATAAACAGCAACACAAACATATTTCCTGATGTACACGAGAGTGAAAGTGATAATTGATATGAATCAAATTCGGCCAAATTTGGTATTTCTTGAAGGCAAAGAGGCAGGAGGCAGAAAAGCTCATTATCAGTCGAGTAACGATGAGAGTAAGAGAAAAGATGATTACCTGAGGGTCCTCTGGTAATAATTGTTGAGTTCCATTTTGATTTCTGTGAGCCTCTCCTGGAGCTCGTCCACCTCATTGCAGAGTTTGTAGCATTTCTTGCAAATGATTTCGCTGTGTATCAGCTCTTTCCTGACTTCCTGGCCTAAGATAACGCTGAGGATGTTTGCGACAGGCTGTTCCGAGGAGGTTACGTTGTATTGAAATATCGGGCAGTTGTTTCTCGTCGAAACGCCGATGCTCGCGTTGCAGATGAGGCAGACGGGCGTCCCTCTGTCGCCGTCGGCCGTCATTTCACCGCGATCGGGCTTCGCCGGGGGGAATCAAATGGAAAAAGGCCGTCGAAGGCGGGTCTTCTCCGGGGAAATTTAGTCGGGGACGAGGCCCGGTGAGAGAAATTTACCTACGCGGAGGTTAAACGTTCCTCCCGGCGGACGCGAGTCTGGGATATGCGAAAGGGGTTCGATTTCCGAAATTACGACTTTCGAAGAGTTTCGGGCTCCGACGATTAATAGCGAGCCGAGGATAGCTCGACCTGGGGCGGGGCTTTCTCCGTGGGCCGAACGCGAGGCGACCGCAGGAAAAGCATCTCGAGCTCCGAGGGGGTCCACTGCCGATTCGCCGCGCCGAAAACGAAGACGAGATTTTGTCGAAAATTATTATCAGGGGGATGGAAGTTGCCAGCCCTGGACGGTCAAGATGGCGTTACTGAGGGACGAGAGTGTGAGAATTGTGATGCGGCTCGGAGCGGGGGTCGGGCCTCGCAGGCGTCCGAACACCATTTTTTCCGACCTCGACACTTTTCCAGAGCAGGCTTTCGCCACTTTTTACGATTAAATAAAAGGCCGGAGACGTAATTTTACCGACTCCCCGACTCGGGAAAAAAGGGAAATTAATTTCCTTTCACAACTGCGCATTTCGCCTCGTCGGATCAAACAGGCGTTGGCACCGATGCCGCTCATTTTCCGCCGTTTTGATTCGTCTTCAATTTCCGGTTCTTCCATTGCGCCAAAATTCTAAACAAACCTAAGAAATTTAACCAGCACGTAAAAATCATTTCAAACTGACTGGATATTTGATTAATTATTAATAGATTACATAACGATTAATGCATGTTATAATATTTTTTTTGTAGTTTTAAGGCCGGCAAACAATATTGGCCATCGCTAGCCCTCGTTCCTTAACTTTGTATTTCGTTTCTTATCTATCTCACGTTTTAAATCTACTAACACTTAGAAATGTTACAATTTTAAAACACCCCGATGGTTCGTATAATCTTGTACTTGAAAAAAACCCTCGTTAAAATAAATAAAACACTAATTTCTTCTACTGATCCTCTAGCCAAGTTGTACATTTATGATATAATGGTAACCAGCTTTCTTTCTTTCTCTCTCTCACTCTCTCTCTTTCTCTTCTTTTTATCCTATTGCTAGCCTTTCCGTACTCAGGGCTTTGACAATTGTGGACAAAATAACTCAAATAACAAACACCAATACTCAGAAACAAGATAAAAACATGATAGCCTGGCTAGCATTCACGCTAGCCAAGAGTACTTGATGTTCCTTGGGGTAATTGGGGATATGCCCCACCATTCATGATAATAAATTACATTCACACTACACTAGGATACTCTATATTCTTCGAGGTGATTGGGGATGAGCCCCATCATTCACACTACCCCAGAGTACTCGATATTCTTCAGGGTAATTGGGGATAAGCCCTACCATTCACACAGGATACTCGATTTTCTGTGGGGTGATTGGGGATGTGGCATGTGCCCATCATTCACACTAATAAATTACATTCATACTAACCCAGAGTACTTGATATTTGTAAGAGTACTTAGTGATCAAACATGCCATCACACTAATAAATTACATAAACACAGCACTAATCATTCACACTAATCCAGATTGTATTCTTTGGGGTAATTGGGGATAAGCCATACCATTCACATTAATAAATTATATTCACACCGCACTAAACATCACACTACCCCAGAGTACTACAGAGTAACATAGAGTCATCTCTACAAAATATAGTGGCAAATTGGTAACAATAGTTCCAGAAAAGTGTCTTTAAATCCATGCATATGAAATTAAGTTTTTAAATGAAATCTGTGGTAGAAATAGTATAATTTATTGCTCCGATTCACTGGTTTCTAATCCTCACAGAGCATGTGAGGTGGAAATATTACTCCATGGGAACAATTCAGCTTGCAAATACACCAAACTTGCAATCGAAGACAACTACTTACAAAACAGAAATCAGTGGATTCCTAGCAGTCTTCCCAATGCCAGGAAAACTGAAAATACTTCAAAATGACATCATAGAAACAAAAATTTTTCTAGGAATATTTCTAATCAAAGCAGCTAGCAGAGAACTAGCATATGGGGGAAAACCGTTGATCTACAAGCCTACATCATTTCCTACAGTCAAGAAGCCCGACATATTGGATTTCTCCCTTAAACTATCATCACTTTAACTTCCATATTTCAAAGTATAAATTAAGAACTTCAATTAAAATCATTGTTGCCTAATTTCATTAAAAATATCTTCATTTTAATTCCAGTTTGTGGATAATCTTGCTCACCCAAGAATATCTAATGACTAGAGAAACACCTCTTTGTGAAATCTGATGATAGATTATTCATAGAGAAACATATAATTAAAATGTGTAAAATACGACCAGGCCAGAAGACATCACCGCCTGGCGGGTCAATGATCAAAGATTCTTGGGTACAATTCTTCGAATATAGACAATCTGTTGGCTTTCTTATGAGACACTAAATTATTGATTAAAATTTACATCAGTCCAGCCAATAGGGTATGGGGCATATTGGCTTCTTAGGGTGCGCGGATTGTGCCTCGAGTCATTGCAGGAAAGAACCCCAGATTTGGAGCAGTGTTAACATTGGCAGTGGCATGGACACCTCTCAGATATTCTACACAATAACAATTAACATAGATTTGCTAATTTTTGGAGTAAAGGGGAATGCCTGGGGGTGCATTGTCATCTGGGTTCGCCTCCTTGTCTGTCCCTGGAGCTGCTCAACCACCCTGCCATAAAGTTTATGAGGTTATAATGATTAAGGGGGAACATAGTCCAAAGAGATTGATCTTATTCTTTTTTGTATTATTACAAAAACTTAAACCTCAGCTATACTTGCACGATTTCATCACATTTTGTAAAAGAAGGATTATTAATAGATATATACTTTTATTTCACAAAAAAATTACAATATTTAAAATAATCATTATTAAACTGACAATGGTTGTTGGCCCACTGTCAAGAGTACATAATTATGATGATAAAATCATGATCAACACAATTATTATTATAATTACACATCATTACGTAGACTATATGCTGGGATTGTTTAAGAAAAATTGAGATAATTTATTATTAATTATTATTTTATCTTCATTTCTGTCATTGTTCCAGGCTATTTGAGGAAAATAAATTTTTACTTGCACAAGTGTGTAGGGTATACTTTTTTTTCGAGTGCAGGGCTACTGGATTCGAACCCCGGGACCTTCACCTTACAGTGATGAGCACCGTGTCAACGCCTAAACCGTTGTGGCCACCAACGCCCCCAAGTAGTCTTATTCTACTGCATTTTGTGCACCATTTACTTTTTAACGGGAAGAAAAGAAGGAAGGGAAGAACAAACAAGAATTCAGTAACCCAGCAAGATGCTGAAATATATCTGACCAAACAGCAAGTTTACACTCAAAATGACCAGAAATGACTAAATTACAGGAGTGCAATATTTCACAAGGGTTTTGCCAGCTTCTTTTATCATTTATAATTTTTGTATATTCAAACCAATTTGAATGCTTAGTTATGAAATGATATACTCAACAAGTGCATCACAATGTTCACACACTTGCTCACGCTCATGGGCATGCACACACTCAACTCATATGAGATAAAGTTTACACCAACATGGTTGACCATCCAAATGTGCTTCTGTAATAAATTGTTATGTACGTTCCACCCGCAATTACCAAAGGTGAACGAACAGTATAAGTGTTTAAGTCACAAGAATAGGTATCCAGGATGATTGGTAATGAACAATCAGGTCCATCTCCCCCCTCAAATCACTACATTATTTTCCATTGTGCATTAGTTCTATACAATGTTTATTTATTTTTCATTTTTTTGTCTAATAGTCAATTATGATTATTTTACAAATAATATTAAAACAAAAAATTTTCAAATTTAATACTTTATCAGATTTTTATTTACTGCACCCTTGAGCATATTTTGAAATGAAAGGAACCAACACAAGCTTGTCCATTGCATCGGGAATGTCTTCTTGTTCATCTGTCGATGAATCTAGCTCACTTGAATTGACGGAATCCAGCCAGTCTTCGTCGGACTCGCTGCTGTCTCCTTCCAGCTCTCTTTCTTTTTTCAACTCAACAAATATAAATTTCTAATTTTAAAAATGTATTAACACTAACATCCCGGAAATTTGAATTGTGTCAATACCAACCTCTAAGTTTACATTGACAACACCACAGTCTCTGAGATCCAGCAAAGCCAAATGCGCCAATCCTTTCAAAAGTTGACGCGACACAATCTTCAACGGGTTGCCAGTAAAAAAGCAGTATCTCAACTTCTGTAGAGATTTTTTTCTTTTAATAATAAGTAAATAATAATAATAAAAATGTTGCTTGGTTAAATCTTTTATGGTTGATCATCCCTTCACAATACCTAATAAATATCTGTGGCATTTAGTGACCATTAATTAATGATTATTTAGAGATGGTGAGAATTAAATACAGAACAAACATAAAACTCAACCGTAACTGTGCTAATATCATAAATCAAATTCAATATCAATAACATTCAAATAACACACAAAACATATAATACAACATATAAAACAATCATTACACTCCACCCATCAAACGATTACATAGTCTAAATCTTCAACAATTTAACTCTCCTTTCCCTAATAATCCCCTCTTTATAATAATCCTGAAAGGCTAACCAGTCCCGAATGAAACCATTACCTTTATTCTAGTGTCAGATCCTTTCACCTCAAAGAAGCCAACACCTCATAGAAAAATGAATTTCATCCCTACTCCTTCAAAATCAAACATATATAAACAAAAAATATTAATATCTCACTAACACTCTCAACCCGACATACAACAATGACACATCTGCACAAAAACACACACATTGAGGAAGTACAAATACTTTGATTAACAAAGAGAGAGGGGAAGAGAGAGAGAGAGAGAGAGAGAGAGAGAGAGAGAGAGAGAGAGAGAGAGAGAGAGAGCATTCTATAAATTGAAAAAGAGCCACATCATCTCCATATATTTCAAACTTTTTCTTTGCAATGTTCCTCTAAATTTCCATGTATACTTTTTAGCAACCTAAAGTTTCTTCAAATTTCTTTTGGTTTGCGATATTCGGCAGTCATTGCTTTGTCTATGTGTTTTTAGCACTGGCCACTGTAAATAATGAAAATATAGAGCAAGTTTATCTAACAAATTAAGAGTTACCATAAAAAAGCGAATAAAGAAATATTCTAAATGAAAAAATTCACATTTTCAGCCATTTTTGTATAATTAATCAATTCAATCAATGGGCTTGATGTCATATGCACAAGTATTATTAAATATGAGGAAACAAACTATGTAGGTCATATAAGAACAAAACTATTTATTTCCTTATCTTAAACGGGTTATTTTATTATTTCCATGGCACTCAATTCACATTCATAAACTACAGATAAAAAGAAAGACGTTTTGGTTGGGAAGATTCTGTCTGTAGAAATAAAACGTTTAATATGAGGCTAATTAAGGCGAGAACCCCGGCTAAACCAGCAATGCTTTGAAGTCTTACAGAAATGTTTGCTTTCACGCCGTAAATCTGTCAAAAATCCTACAGCTCTGGCTACCCACCATTTTGAACACCTACACAATTTCGATTTCAACAACCTAAAAATATTAATCACAGAACCAAATAAACTACATAACTTTTTAGAAATGTTTTACATCAACAGGAGATAATTAGCAATAATTACAGAACAGAAACATGCAAACTCAGCCATAGCTACAGTAATACCATAAATCAAATTCAATATCAATAACATACATAAAACACACAAAACAAATAATACAATATATAAAACAATCCTTACACTCCACACATTAAAAAATTCTACATAGTTTAAATCTTCAACAATTTACCTCTCCCTAATAACCCTGTCTATAATAATCCTGAAAGGCTAACTAACATGACAGACCCATTTTTTCCATTGTTGAACCCTTTCACCTCAAAGAAGCCGACTCCCCATTGACAATGAATTTCTACCCCTACCTCCTTCTTCACTCCTTCAAAATAAAAACATTAAAAAAAATAATTATTCAGAAATCGTGTGATTAGGTTTCAGAAAAACATTTTCTTTATTTTCTGAAACCTACGTCACACCAGACCGCATCTCACGATTTCTGAATAATTATCGATTAATGGTCACTAATCACCACACATTAAAAAAATTGATATCTCACCAACACTCACAACACAACACATAACAGGGACACATTCTTTGAGTGAGTACAAATACTTTGATTAAACCTAAAATTCTAATATAGTGTACATCATTGTTTAAATTCATATTTATATCTTATATGCATAATCTAAAGAAAGCTTATAAATCCCAGGCTCCGATGATGATCTAAATAAAGCTCGAAACATTGCCATGATAAAAAAAAAAATAATAATGTTTTTCTAAACCTTCATAACATTAGACTGCATGTCATGATCTCTAAATAATAAGATTATGATTAATTAATTAAGATTAATAAGATACTACTCATCTTTTTTTTGTTCAATTTCTTTTCTTTGAAATTCAGAAAAATGGATAACTTCTCCAAACAATTTCTTACAATTTTATTCTTATTTTTATTGATGCCAAAATATTTCAGCACCTATCTAGATCCCCTATTCAGGGTTCTTTGGATAATTAAGGAAATTCAATTAATAAATATCTATATGAGCCATATTATATTTTATTTATTCTTGAATATTTTAACTGTCAATATAAATGTATTATTGTTGTTAAAGTAATATATTTAAAAAGGTCAGAGCAAAGAATAAATAATTAAAAATTGTAGAAACACCAACAAACCTCCATTCCAAGGAGTGATGCAGGCAATTCCACAAACTCATTTTTTGACATATTCAAATGAATCAGATTATTCCATTTTGTTTCTGATAGCTGTTTGATCTGGTTCCCACTCAGAGTCAACCACATGTTAAAACAAAAATTATGAACTTTTGGAAGAAATTTAAAGTAAAAACAGTAGTTTAAAATGGGTTTAAAAATTTACCTTAGCGATTGTAATTGGTATAAATCGTGTGGCAACTCACTCAAGAAATTCCCTCGAGCACCTAGAGTGTCTAACTGTGTTAAGTTTTTAATTTCGGGTGGAAGACATCGTAGACCGGTCCTGTTCAGCCACAGGACTTCCAAATTGACCAACTGCCCAATTTCTGGGGGTAAGACGCTGATCGGATTATGACTCAAGTTCAGTTTCCTCAAAGATTCTATGCAGAATAGGCCTTTTGTGAGACAGGCGAGTTTATTGCGGCTAACTGATAGAATTGCAAGATTTTCTAATGCGCTTATTTCTTCTGGAAGGGACACAAGTGCATTTTTCGACAGGCACAGCTTATAGAGGTACTGCAGTTCCAATATGCCTTTTGGGAAATGGTTTATATCAAAAGATGTGAGGATCAAAGTGTGCCTATTCGATCTCTTTGCTCTTTCAACAGCAGCCTGGACTTGCAGCTTTTTGAACAATTGATCCAAAGAACCTGCCGTAAAGAAGAAATCCATGTTTTCATCGTATATCCACTGAGAATGTAAAGTGACATCGCTAAAAATTAAATATCTGATGTATTTCAATCATTGCTATGGAGTGACATGGGTTATTTTACTTGGAATGTAAAAATTTTCACAGACGATTTTTTTATGTATAAATAATAAATAATAACTAATCAGATGATATTTCTTTTATCTATAAAATTTTCCCCACTACAAAAATCATGCAGAGATTTAACTTAAAAAAAAAAAAAATCCTTAAAGGTTTAACTGCCTCCTTTCATTCAACCGATTTCTTTATTTTTTCATAAAGTATACATTTTTTTTTTAAAGCAGAACATCAACATTAATGTACGTGATCTTGGCAAATATTAAAAACAGAGCATGTTGGAAAATATGAAGGAAATATGCAAGGTTTTTAATCAAATTAAAGATATTTAATTACAAATTAAATACAAAACTGAATGGCTGAACATTATGGAAACCTTAAGTAAATAAAAACTAGCCACAATCTCATATGTTGTTTTGAACAGATACCGCATCTATAATTTGCACACTAAACTATGTTCCATAAAGAACAACTACAAGATTAGAACTATGACCCCGATTGTTTCTGTTCTGGCACGTCGCTTTGCATCCGTTTGAGAAAATCTTCATCTTGATTTGACATAGCCGTAAGTTTTTTGCCAACCCTCTCATGAATCTCAAGATACTTCGCAACACACCGATCAAGGCAGACGGCTTCCCCTTTGCTTATATCTGGCTCATGGTATGTAGGCGGAATGCATTTCTTATGGCATGCACTGGCCATCCTGTTGTACATGTCAGCCATCATTTCCAGTTCCAATTCTTGCACCAACTGCAATTTAGCAATATCTGCTTCTGAAGGTCCGGCCATTTTTATTATTAAAGTTTAATTTTGAAAATAAAATAAATTAAAATATTCAAATGAATTTCCTTGAACTTGCGTTGTATTCTCCTTGATTTGAATTTCTCATGCGTTCTCTACTTTTCATATTCTCGTATCTCTTTTGGTCGACTGAACGCTTGGACAGGACAAATGAATAGATTCCAATACCAATACAAACAGCCCTGAAACAAGAAGATAAAACTTAATAGGAAAACATCAAAATAAATCAATTGGAAAATGTTTTAAATATTATACAATTATTTGCATCTTTTAAATCCAATAATCATACACTATTTTATACATTTATACCAACTTTTCTGTTTAAGCCAAGCCACCAAAAAGAAGTTTCTTTAACTGTATTAATAATTATTTTGTCATAATACTTTACAGATGGCTGGGACTATGCATAATTCACTCTTTTACCGAATTGTGATAAATATTCCAATACTTTTTAATTCTTTCTATAATTTTTGTTAATAACATGCGACTTAATATCAGTTCAATTTTTACAGCAAGTTTTCTTGCAAGATCCCTAAGTGAAAAAACAAAATTTTACTCTGTTGGTTCAACACATGATTTTTCATTTTACCTAATTCAAAACAAATTTTTCTGGTAGAAAAGTTAAACAAGGGTTTTTAAATCTCTTCTTGAGATCTGCCTGAGGTTTAGTTGCTGTTAACCATTCTAGTAATTTAATTGTTGTTGATTTGGTCTGTAATTTTGTCAATTGTGTCTAAAGATACTACTAAAGATACGATAAAAGTTTGATTAAGTGTGTGTTAAATTGTAAAACAATAAAACAATCATAAACCAGTATTGAGTTTTTATGACCGAAATGTCTTAGGTTATAGAGTAAGTCTGTAGCATTTTNTTAAAACCATTTTTCAAATGTCATATAACCAGGATTTGATTCTCAGCGATTTATGAAGTGGCCACAGGGAGCTGTTAGCAAAGCGATTACCTCTTCAATTATTATATTAATCCATATATGTTTAGCGATCGTAATTGAACATTTAATTATTTCAATTATTTATACTTTTTATCTAAGGACTTGGTTAAGATGAAAAGTTAATGCCATGAGCAGGATTTGAACCTATGTCCTTCGGCTAAACACACCGCTGCTCTAACCACTTCAACTATCATGACTTCATCCACTTGGATACTAACCCCTACATTATATTATATTATTAATTAATTTTTTAGCTCAAATTTATTATTTCATCAAAGAAAACAATTGAACAAAACCCATTAACTTACTTGACGAGTTGGCTGTAAGAATGTAAAAGGATTAGTAACATCCTATAAGGGTTAACAACAAGTTATTAAAGTTGTGTTTATGTTTTAAGTCAGTATTAATCTTTATTATTAACTTACTCAACCAGTTGGCTTTGGAAAGGATGAAATTAACTGATTTACTTTATTTTTAATGATTATTTGGAGATCATGAGATGTGGTTTGGTGTGATGTAGGTTTAAAAAAACAACCATTTTCTTTATCGTGCCAATGTTAGATCATCTCCAGGGCCTGGGATTAATTATCATTAAAAAGTAGAAATACTTTGATTGAATATAAAAATATATTTTGCATTGTATAAATTCACGTTTCCACATCCTAAATGTATTTGTTAAATGTAAACAATGTTTGTAAATCCTAGGCCCTGAAGATGATCTCAATAAAGATCGAAACGTAGGCACGTTAAAGAAAATGTTTTTCTGAACCCTACATCACACCAGATCGCATCTCACGATTTCTGAATAATTAATAATCATTGTTTAAATTTTACAAATACATGTAGGATGTGGAAAAAATGAATTTATACAATACCAGAAATTTTAGATTCAATCATAGTATTTGTTAAATTCACTATTTTTCATGGTCCGCTTGACCAATTGATATCATCCAATTAATTAAGGTTTTAAGTTGAGATAAAAAAAGTCAGTTTCACCAGCAGGATTCGAACCCACGATCTTCGGCTTGATACACCGCTACTCTACCACTTGAGCTATCATGACTTCGATTCCCTCGGGCACTAACTTCCCATCTCAACAACTTAACTGACACTCACTTTTTTATCTCAACTTAAAACCTTAATTAATTGGATCATAGTATTTGTACTCACTCAAAGTGTTTGCTTTCTGTTTAGAAGTGTCTTTCTTGTGTCGGGTTGAGAGTGCCAGTGAGATACTGATGTTTTACCTATATACATTGGATTTTGAAGAGGTGGGGAAGGAAGTCCGGATAGAAAGACATTTTTATATGAGTAATTGGCTTCTTCGAGGTGAAAGGATCCGACAAAAAATGTTAATGGTTCGGCCTGATTATCCTTTCAGGATTATTTAGACGGGTATTTAGGGAAAGAAAAGCCAAACTGTTGAAGAATTAGACTATGTTGAAATGTTTAATGTGTGGAATGTAATGACAGTTTTTTTATGTTATATTATATGTTTTGTGTGATGTGATGGTATTTATTTTTAATCAACAGTTTCAGTTTAAGTCACCTCTTAATTCAATTAATTATTCTTTTTATGTAAGGATTTAGTTGAGTTGAAAAAGTTAGTATCACGAGTGGTAAAAATTTTGAATGATATTGAAAAATTGCAAAAAGATGGAAAATTTGAAAGGTTGTAGGTTGAGATGGGAGTTGGTGTCTGAGTTGATTTAAGTCACGATAGCTCTAGTGGTAAGAGAAGCGGCGTATTGAGTCGAAGGTCGTGAGTTCGAATCCTGCTCGTGACTAACTTTTTCATCTCAACCAAGACCATACAAAAACGAAAAATTAATTGAAATAAATAATTTGGTCAATCAGACCACTAAACATAAACTGATCAATTTCTAATGTTTATACCTAGTTATTATTTAAAATAAATAAATACAAGTGTCCTATGAGTCTTTGAGGTGTATGTATGTACAGAAAGTTGAAGTAATTATTGAAATACCCGATTGTTCAGGTGGCTTAAAATCCGCTCAAACAAACGAAATTTTTTTCAGCCTAAAATCGGTAAAAAGACAAAATTCCTTACCATCCGATGGATATCTTCGTGATACTGCTCTTAAACATATTTAAAGGCTGACATTGTAGGTTAATGTGGTATCACCAAGAGCTATACCCAAAAAAAGAAATACAAATGGTTTAGCATTTTAATAAGAGAAAAGTCTTAAGCCGAATGTGAATTGAACCTAAAAATTACCTTTATCACCTCGTGCAGTAGAGCGACCGCAACCTACTAGCTACTGCTACAGGAAGATAGAACAACCTCAAAATAGTTCAGTGCTGCACAAATAACTTTATCAGAGTGATAACCTCGCGGAGGTAGGAGAAGTGGATAAACTCTAGAGGTGCTAGATAGAGTAGGCTTATGCTAAAAGAATCCTCACAAAAACTTGGGAATTAAAAAGTTTATGGTTTATTTACGATTTAAATATTTATTTGAAAGTTTCGTAGGCAGGGGGCGGGAAGAAAGTCGGGCCGATTGCAGCGCTCCTTTTGAAAACGGGGCCTTTCTCCAGATCTGTTTCGAAACTCTCTCGTCAGTCGTCGTCACTCGTCTCTCGTCAGTCGCTTTTCGATGTGTGTGTGAGTTGTTTCTTTTAGTCCCCATCTGTGAAGTCGGTTGCGAGTTTATTCACGGTCACACAGTTCAAACAGTTGGAGAGTTTTATTCCCGGCTGCCCGTTTCGAACGTTTACTTCTCCGATCGGAAGTGATATGAAATAGTTGTTTTTCTTCTCCCGGACTCCTCCAGTTGACTTTCATCATGGCCAGTTCTTCGGGGTTTGGCTTTTTAATCTCCTTGCCAATATTTTGTTGTTGTCGATCAATGGCGATTTGTGTTTTCAACTCAGGAAATTTCAGGTACGACACAAACAAGATTTGCTGCAACGCCCATCCGGACGCTTTTCTCATTGAGGACCACAGGGCAGGTGACCAGATCTGTTCCGAATGTGGCCTTGTTGTTGGAGACAGGTCAGTTTCACTTGAAGCGAAACACTTACATTTAGATTTTAAAAAAAATATATTAGCAGAATGTTCTTTTATTTTGTTAAATGGTTCAACGTTGAGTGACTGACTATCCTCATAAGTGCGTCGAAAAAATAAAAAAATAATTTGTTTTGAAGAACGAATCGCAGTAACATTAATTCATCATTATTATAAACAGACGGTCTAGTAAAACACCACATCGCAATAAAAAGGCTCAAACCAGGATTTGAACACTTGTGTGTACACATCAAGATATGCTTTATTTTGTTCTGTTTGTAATTTTACTCATTCTGCCAATTTTATATCGGATGACTAATCATTCATGAATTGTTCGACATGTTTGTGTGTTATTAGTGTGTCGGAATGTGTCCTTATGTTGGAACTAGAAAAAGGGCTTGAGAAAGAAAAACTCAAGCACTGGACAAAACCACCAGGTATGAGGCAAGTTAAGAGATTTATAAATTTCTCAAAACTGAAGGCGAAGGAACTCTCATCTCTCACAGCAGGCAGGATTGAGGATAATTATACTCCTCTATATCGGCCACTGCCCACTTTTTTTTCATGGTATTAGCTGTAGCCATAACCATATCAACATCTCGTCCCCTCTTGGTAATAACACCTCCGTTTTTCAGGCGGAAATATGGGCCATTAATGTTTGCTGTAGAACGCATGGATAATAAAATCAAGGGAAAAGATATTAGAATTTTTTCCGACAGTCAGGCCAGTCTTTGGTCATTACAAAAAGAGTTATCAACATCTAGGTGGAGGAAACTGTTGATCTTATCGATAGGATCACTTCCAGGTATGAGAATAGGGCAATCCTTATTTGGATACCAGCACATAAAGGACACTATGGCAATGAAGAGGCGGATAGCCTGGCCAAAGAAGGCTCAAATACTGCGTTTGTCGGGCCACAACCGGTATTACCCCACTCTATAAGCACAGCGAAAGAAATAAGCTAAACTGCTCCCCTAAAGTTTTTGGCCTTATCCTATGGTATCCAGCCACAGTAATTTTAAAAGGACAACATACGCCCTGGCCACCAGTACCATAGATCCCCGACAGTCTGCTGCCGGAGGAAACGGGACACCACAACAATCATTTTAACCTTATTTTTATACTGTGACTCCTTGGGGGATCCCCAACCATCTCTAATAAAGTTACTACCTTAAAAACATGGGACATAATCAGATGACCAATGTCAACTGAATGTATCCTAAGCAACTGTCCTGCAATACCTATGGCAAGGTTATAGCACCTGGGAAATCAGTGTGCTTAACAAGATTACTTAAATTAACTTAATCGTCAACCGTATTGTTATGCGTGAATACATTAAATAAAACTATTTTTGTTTTGCAGGGTAATAGACGTAGGTTCTGAATGGCGTACTTTCAGCAACGAAAAGAGCGGCGTGGACCCGTCTCGTGTCGGTGGGCCAGAAAATCCTCTTCTCAACGGTTCCGACCTTTCGACCATGATTGGCCCCGGGCGAGGTGATGCTTCTTTCGACGACTTTGGCATCTCCAAATACCAAAACCGCAGGACGATGAGCAGCTCGGACAGGGCGCTGATAGTCGCTTTCAAAGAAATAAACAGCATGGCTGATAGAATCAACCTACCAAAGACTATAATCGATAGAGCAAATAACCTTTTCAAGCAGGTGCACGACGGCAAGAATCTTAAAGGAAGAGCGAATGATGCTATCGCCTCGGCCTGCTTGTATATTGCATGTCGACAAGAGGGAGTTCCCAGAACATTCAAGGTAAATGTTGTTTTGGTAGTTTTAATCCAAGAAAATGGATGGTTTATTGAATGACAATAATTTTTTATGTGATATATTGATTTAATAGAAATATCTAACTAGATACATTAATTTATATTAGTATTATAAAAATGGTGAAATAATTATTCTTTTGTCTCATGCTTAAGCTAAAGCAGTTTAAAAGGACGTCTGGTTTATCTGTACTGATCTGTTTTTTTCCAACAGGAAATATGTGCTGTCAGCAAGATAAGTAAAAAAGAAATTGGAAGGTGTTTTAAACTGATACTCAAGGCGCTCGAAACGAGTGTTGATCTTATTACAACTGGAGATTTTATGTCGCGTTTTTGCTCCAACCTTGGTAAGTCAAATGATATTTTTACTTATAAGAACAATTTATTATATGATCCCTTTTCACAGGGCTGTCTATCATGGTGCAAAGGGCAGCTACTCACATTGCCCGCAAAGCTGTGGAAATGGACATTGTCGCGGGAAGATCTCCTATATCAGTCGCCGCCGCTGCAATCTACATGGCCTCACAAGTACAATTTGTTTCTTTTTAAAATCCTTCTTCCGATGAAATGAGCCAGAGGTAATTATATTTATTGTTTGTTCTAGGCATCTTACGACAAGAGGAGCCAGAAGGAAATTGGGGACATAGCCGGTGTCGCCGACGTGACAATCCGACACTCTTACAAACTGATGTACCCTCATGCTGCGAAATTGTTCCCAGAAGAATTCACTTTCACCACTCCCATCGATCAGTTGCCGATGATGTAGACAACCCAGATGCTCAGTCGAAGTTTTGCAAATTCATGCTGTTTGTACATAAAGCGTATTGATTTTTCTGATTTGTATGTATTCATTGTATTCATAATACGATATTGGATGATAAGATCATTTCATCATTCAATGTTTTTATCAATTTTTCAACCTTATTCCATGATGTAACGTTGTAAACAAATAGTATGTACATTAGGGTCATATATTTTTTTTATTTAAAAACGCATAAGTGAGCAATATAATTATAGTGAAGTTACAATATAATTTTTTAAAATAAAATAACTTTATAGAAGATTGTATAAAATCCCAAAATAATGTAATATTATCAATTATATCTGGGATGAATTTGAACTATTGGAAATGCTTTTCCTTAAGAAAAACCATCCCAGAAATCACATTATAAATAAAATAAACACTAATTTGCACTAGTGCTTGGTTCAGTGGAGTCAATATCATCAATTTCTTCCTCTTCAAAGTCCTCAACCCAAGATGTTTCCTCATCAGTAGAATCATCGACATATTCTTTCATAGTACTTTCAGCTGTAAATAAAAAAGTAAATAAATACGTTTAAATCAAAAAGTAAAATATGAGATTATAATTATTTACCAATTGCAGTTTCTTTGTTCATCTGTTGCAATACGTAACCGTTTATTATGTCTCGGCACTGAATGTCAAAGCCAGGTGGCAACCAACCATGTTTGGGATCACACGCCATGTTTGGTGATATTTTCGGCAGTCTTCCAAGCATTACTTCAATTTCAGGTGCTTTAATATCACAGTACTGAAATACAAACGGATGAATATCTTTTATATTGATTAATAAATAAGGATTGATCAGAGGAAATTAATCAGTCGCGGAAACGATCCAGGGTTGATATGTGATATTGGACCATCAAATAGAATGTGATAGACTGAGTGAGCGATCCAGTTAAATCACTTTTTTCTAGGGAGAATATAATGGGTTTTCAGCGTTCAGTAATCCCCCCTTAACATTACTGGGTGTTTGGTTCCAAAAAACTGCTGCGAATGTTGGGTCTATTTTCCTATGCTATAAGGAGGATTAAGTTCCATGACACTAAACATTGAGATACAATTCAGAACTAAAATAAATGTAATAGAAGACATAACAGTGTTTGAACATGTTGTTTTCATTGATGTGCAAGGAAATAACTATTAACTGTTTCGCCGAATAATTAATTTCTTTAAGAATTTCCACATAAGGATTTGAAGCAGCCTCAACATTCCTTTTAAACTTAAAACTTCGATTTAAAGATGGGACAAAAGTCATTGCTTTTTTAATAAGTTGGTTCCTCAAGGTTAAAATTTGAAGGAAAGTTTTGGCCAGAATAAAAAAATGCCCAAAATTTTTGTACTTTCACCGTCAGAACTTTTTTTTCTGTTTTGGAAGATGAGGCATTTTGCGACAATTTACACGAGAGAATAAAACAAACTGAGAAGAAAGAAGAAACAGTACGTTGAAAGGAGGCAAACATTTTTTGAGATTCAATTAGAGCCTTCAATCCATTTTTTAATGAATTATTTTCAATACGAAAATAAAATTGTTTATGCAATTGTTTTTTTTTCCCTGCAAGTAAAGCAATCTAACTTCTGCAAATGTCAAAACTTTCCTCATTTTTTCGTACCTGAATAGTGAAAACAGCAAATGTCAAAACCGCAAGTGTTAAGAGATTACTGTACAAGTTTACTTCATTAATATTGTTGATTAGTGTCAGTTCAGATGTAGAAACACTTGCTACTAGTATTGTGAAACAAAGAAAAATAAGAGACAATATTGGGTGCATGAAATTAATCAGAAAAGAGAGAAAAAAATAAGGGAATACCAACACCAAACTGTGTAAATATTTAATTACTAGTTAATTATTAAATAGTTCTGTTTGATCACTCATTTTAACCATTTTGGAACTGATTTTCAGATGTTAAAATGTATTTCCCTGTTCATAACCTCAGCCACTATGTGACCCCTCCTAGCTTGATTTACTTTCTATCATGCATCAAATTTCAAAGCATCCACTTTGAATCGCATTTCTCCATTCCTTTCAAAATTTGACAGTACATTTCTTTTGTAAGGGGTGAAATATAGATGACATTCCCAATGAGCTACAGATATCGTTTTCTGGAAAAAGTAATGTGTCGCAGTTTCACAAGAGTTAATGAGTCAATGATGTGGACGGGAAAGGAAGGATGTGGGAGGTCTCCAGTCTCTAGCAAAGCGTCTGCTACAACCTCAACCCAATAGATACTATGAGTAGCTTCTAAAAGGCAAAAACCTCTAGGACAAGATAATGTCACTGAGCCTGTAAAGCATACAAGCCCCCCCCCAAAAAAAAGTTAACAACGAACAAACTCAATCTTGTACCTACAAGAACCAAAGTGATCTGAGATTTTGTAACCTGAATTGCTTGTCATGACAAAATCAGGCTTCACTTTAATTTTTTAGATTCATGATCAATAAGAAGTTCTACTTAATTAACAATAAACTAACCTGGTAAAACATCTGCCTCGCTGCAGGAATCACATTGGTTTTAAAAAGATAAGAATCCTGTCTTAAGCTGCAATCATTTGGCTCGTCTTTTTTGGAAGTTATTAGATCCTTTGTTATAACGACAGACTTTGCACCTGGGTGGCTTGATTTTGTAGGCAAGAGGTAATTTGCGTAGCTCCTTTTCGATTTAACAAGGCTAAGCAAACCAGCTGGAAGTTTTAAGTTTTAATATGACACTAGACTCATAGATGTTAATGAATTTATAAATACCAGGGGCACGGATTCTATAGTCCAAAGTCTGGTAGACTCTGGCATTTGGATCTTTTCTAGGATCGTACCCAAACCTGACCCACATGACTCGAAACGGTCCTGTTACAAAGTAATACGCCACAGCTGGCAGTAAATACTTCAATTGATCATGTTGAAATTTTGTTACGCACATAAGGGCGAGTTTGGACCAAACAGGTCTTTCTTCAAAGCACTAAAATAAAAAATAAAATCTTTAAGTAAACCTTTTAAATTATTCAATATGTTAGTACCTTTTTGATTTTTTCTAATTGTGGCCCATTTAAGAATTTCACCTCTAAAAATTTAAGTGCTTTCTCTCTAGGCTTAATCGGTATAGTGCCAATGTTAAAAGAAACAAATATAGCATGCCCAGATCTTCTTTTCCTCGTCCTTCCTATCAAAGGAGCAACATTTGAATCCCCGTCTTTGGTGTCTTTTCTATACATATAAGACTGAAAAATTAAACTAATATCAATACAGCAGACAGTGAGTTTAATATGCACGTATGCCATACGCTGCCGGATTGTTGTGAGTCGACTCTAGAAAATACAGCTGGTGGTAAGAAGTATTCGGCTGGAGCGTCGAGCCATGCCTTTAGATTTTCTCCGTCAACTCTGCTTGGAAGCAAGGTGCTTGTTATGTCTACCATTTCGCCTTTTTCATTTGTCAACATTGGCAAGTACTGAAAGTCACATATACCTGTGAATAATGAAAACGTTCACGTCATATATTTAATATATAATAAAAACATGTTAAAGTATTTTTACTTTTAAATTTGAATGATGTCTGAATTCTCCCTAAAATTTCACAATTCTTTATTTTAATCTCATCACTGTTTTTCGATTTTAGGACTTTAATTTTTAATAGAACTCCATTTGTATTGAACCTGTCTCCACAGGCTGGCTTGCAATAAATATCATCTGGCCTAAAACGAAGTTCAAGGCGTCTATTTCTCTTGCTATAAACCTTAAAAAACAAAACAAAAAACAATGCAATGAAAAAACATTAGAACAATAAAAAAATAGTAAATAGTGAACTTTACATATATCACAGATAAGACATACATTGTTATATTAGTAGTAGTGTAGAAAGTTAGATCGACTTGACACCTGGTACAGGGGGATGGTGCCTTGTTTAATAATTTTATTATTATTATATTAATTAGTTATCAGCTAACTATTTCAATTATACTTTTTATCTAAAGTCTTGGTTGAGAAGAAAAAGGTTCAACATGCTGCTGCTTTTTCCATCGCAACTGTTACTTTTCTATATTAATTTTCAGAGTAACTTATTTTAGTTTTAACTCCTTTGGGTTCTGTTTTATATAAATCCGTTATTATGTAAATTTATTTTTATGTTAAAATATTATTAATTTTCACTTTACCCTATGCATTATTCTAAGGGGACACTCCTGTCCCAGGATAATTTTTTCTTCTTCTTCTTAATTTATTTTTTAATGTTCAAAAGACATATAACATGTCAATATTTAAACTAATGTTTTATACCCAATGACTTATAATAAGAAATTTAGAGCTTATATTTTGGGAAAACCAGTAGGTGTACATCTACATCTAATAGGGTGAGTCATAAAAAAGTCTGTTTTTCTTGCTAATTTAAAAATAATTGTATTGATTCGGAAATCATGAGATGCAGTCTGGCGTGACGTAGGTTTTAGAAAAACATTTTCTTTATCGTGCCAATGTTTCGATCTTTATTGAGATCATCTTCAGAGCCTGGGATTTACAAACATTGTTTACATTTAACAAATACATGTAGGAGGTGGAAAAAAGTGAATTTATACAATGCAAAAAAAAATATTTTTTACTTATAATACTTTGATTGAATATAAAAAATATTTTCATACATCACACTAGACTGCATCTCACAATTTCCGAATAATCAACTAACGGTCCCTAATCACCACACAAAATAATTTTATTTGAACACATTTTTTTTAATACTCAAAGTATACACCATTGTGTTCTATGGTTTGTTGCCATCTCACGGCAATGGAATGGATTCCTTCACAATACCACTCATTGGGTTTTGAACGGAAGAATTCTGCAACACCATTTTGACCCTCAACCAGAGAATTAAAAGTTTTCCCTTGAAGATATTGAGTCATGTAACGAAACAAATGGTAGTCAGAAGGTATTGCATCTGGACTGTAAGCAGGGTGAGGGGAAATCAATTCAATACAATTCTGTAATGCTTTGTTTCGTCTAACGAGGAGTTTATGGTCAAGGGTTATCTTGTTGAAACAAAACCCAATTTCTATTTACTAATCTTGGGTAACGCTGGGCAAAAACATCATACATTTTTTGTAACTGCTCACAATAAAGTTTTGAATCAATGATTCGACCTTTTAGAATAAACTTATAATGAATTATGCCTTTGAAATTTCAAAATGCAGAGTATTGTCTTTTTGTTGTATTGCACTTGTTTAGCGACTGGTAGAGCAGGCTGATTGCAGTCTAGCCATTGTTTCTTGGTCTTGGGATTTCTCCAATATATCCACTTTTCATCACAAATGCTTTCATCACTATTATTTTGATGAACATGGTCATTTGGGTTTTTCAAAAGATGTTGATAAATTTCTACTTGGCATCGTATCTGCTCAATCTGGTCAACTCATGAGGTACTTAATGAGCGATTCACTTTCCCTAAGTTTTGCAGTCCACGATTTATTGGGAAACTCCTAGCTCCCTTGACAATCCTGAATTCATAGGGTCTGCCTCAACATAGTCCCACGGAGCTTCCTCATCGAATGATGATAATACATCCAGAACCAACTTCTTCTCGAAGCTGATGTCACCGGTTCAAATTTCTGCAACCATCTGCATACCACCAGAGAGCATCCTGTTCTTCAAACTGCTGCACCAGAGGGGCTGTTTCTGAATTTGAAAACTTACGTTTCTAATAATGGTGTATTATTACCAAAGTTTCAAATTTTACCGTCGTGTTTAACCAAACTCTAAGACAACATGAATGCAATATAAGATAATTATTTTATACATTTTACATTTAGTATAGTATACGGATTACAGTGGGAGCAAATATAATTGGATTTGAAAAACAAATAAAGCCTTACGGGATTACAATTTCCAAGAAAATGAAATTGATCACCCTATTACATTGTTAAAACAAAATTAATAGCTAAATTTATGTCAAAAGTTGAAGGTTATGCTTTGGTTACATTTTTATATTTCTGCAAGGTTTTCTAATGTTTGTCATATAATTTACCACTTTGTAAATTCGACTATTTTGACAAAATAGTACTTACGTTCGATATGTTACGAATACCGCCCAACGTTTCGAGCATTTTGTCCACATTTTTCACCACTCCTGGGTACTCGACGCAGATCAAATTCTTGCCCAAACCTTTTCTATCTAGTTCCATTGTTTATTCCTCCGGTCAGAAGTTTCCGAGTCGACAAAAAGCTCACGCGTCCGCGTGGGACGAAGCGAATTGTTGCATATTTGTAATATTCGTCAGAATTTTGGCGAATTTCAAATAACTTGTATCATCTTAGACTGAAACATACATCATGTAACGCCGCACATCGCACGATCCATAATAATCTTGGACAACCGGCGTCGGTTTTGGTGTAGCTTTTGTGTTGTAACTACTAACTACTAACTAGTAAAGGGAATGCCTCTGAAGCGAGAGCTCTATCAAAGTGACGTCACTATGGATAATTTTAATATTTTTTAAAAATTCCCTTTAAAAAATGTACAACTTACAGTTTTCAATATAAAATGAATAAATAGAACATTAAATTTCCAAACTTATCTATTGTATTTAATTAAATTTAGTGAACGATTAGCAGTATGATTTGAGCTCAAGACGTACTCTGCATAAAAACACCAATTAGTTTCCCTAAAAATTTTCATTTCAGTTGTTAGTAATTAATCATAAAATTTTCATAGAAAATATTTTAATTAGGTGGTGTTCAGACTGGTGAAGTGGAATTATTAATTTGATTGGAAGTAGATTTTTTTGTACGTGCACAAATTTGCAAAACTTTGACACTACTTCAGAAATCTAGTCATAAAAACTACTAACTAAAGTACTATCCACAATTTCATAAATCAAGACGGTCAATTTTACGACCAAAATATTGACACTAGACAATAATAGTGTAAAATGCCGAGAGGTTACGGTTCAGTTACAATCTTATCTTTCCCGTACTGTCAATGTTTATACATTTTTTTTAAATAATAACATTTGAAAAATGAAATTAGAACCGATGTAAATTCGATTCTAAGTCGCCAAATATAAAGAAAATATGGAACTTGATCCAAACTTGGTGGTTGTCAGTTTGGACCAATGTGATCCAGGTGGGTGTTTTTTTCCATTTTTAATTTAAATATCGTTAATTTTTGTAATTTTTAAATTGGTTTTCAACCTAGAAGCGGAACTTTGTAAGAACAGCTGCCTCTATACGATACCATCCGCACCCTGTGGCCCAGATGTACACCAGCTAGCTACCAGTGTGCAGTGTTTCAGCGGGCTCGAACAGACCCTGTCTCATATTCAATCACTACAGATACCTCAAGTGCAGGTAATTTATGAGTTATGATTTACACTAGCAGCAGTTGGAAAGTGAGGCAGCCTGCTCGGCTAATTTAGACGTTTAAGTCTCACTTTGTCTCAGGCGCTTGGCTGGGAGGCATCAGATCAACTACCTCAATGTCCTAAAATGAGAGGAAGAATCATTCTTTCTTGTTCACTTTTCAGGTTACCTCTGTTAGTATAAAACTATCTTTAGTTAAAAACATCAAATAAAATAAGTATTAAAGATTTTAGCTTTATACCAACTTTTATTATTTTTTATGAGTTATTCTTAATTTTACATATATTCAATTAATTATACACTATTTTTCAAAATGAAAAATTTGTGTAGCGGGATTTGAATCTACAGCCTATGGCTCAATATGCCGCTACTCTAACCTCTTGAACTTTACTTTAGAGATGTATTTGCTATTTACAATCAATTTCAAAACATACATGAAGCTTTAAATTAACTTAAAGCAAATATTTACTTTTTTCTACCATGTCCTCCAAAAAGTCCTGCTTTTTTACAAATGTATATTTGAAGAAGAAAAAATACTTTGATACTAAATTTTATCAGTTTCTATTAAATATATAAATACACAATTTTTTTCGAAATGAAAAATTTGTGTCATAGGCGGGATTCGAACCAATGACTTTCGGCTCAATATGCCGCTGCTCTACCACTTGAGCTACCTTGACTTCGATCACCCATGCCACAAACTTCTCATTTCGACTACCCGATTTTATTCTAATTATAAGCACACAACACTTTTTTTTTTTTTCTCCGCTAATCTAAAAAATACTTTATTACATTCTAATATCGTACAACTCAATTTTTCAAACATAAAACACAACTTGAAGTTAAACTATTAAAAACTAGGTTAAACATCAGTTTTATATTATTAGAAACAAAAAGAAAGTTTTTTTGAAGACAAAAGTATTTTAAAACATGAAAAGTTCCAAATATTTTATTTTATTTTTATTTTTTTCGAGGGTTTGCAAAAGAATATAAACCCTCAGGGTGGCAGTGTTTTTGAAAAAAAGCCCATTTGTAAGTATGTTGGGTTCAAATGCAGGGCCACTGTAATCGAACCCGGGACCTTTACCTTACAGTGATGAGCACTGTCTCAACGCCTAAACCATTGCGGCCACCGACACCCCCCTAATATTCTCTATTATTCATTTATTTCTTATTTTATTATTTATTTATTCTTGTTTCTGCATTATTATTCGTTGCTTTACACAGACTTGATTCTGCCAATATACACACTTGTGCAGAACTCAGCTATGACTCTGAAGAGAATTTAAGTGTTTTGGTGGCCTGGGGTCAGACCATGGTTTTTTACCTGTACCACCATCAAAGGCTCAAGTGGCTTTTGACAAAAGGCCATTTCAGCCCCCAATGCACGTTTTTTTCCTTGGTTCAGAAGTGGAAATTTTGTTATGGAAGGCATAAAGTGTTCTGGACATTTTTTAACCATCAATGATGACCAAAGACTAGCTTTTGTCACACATAACACATTCAACACATGCGACATTACAGAGATAACTTTTACAAGCAGCTCAATATGTTTGTTGAGGCAATATATTGGTTTCTCCCATTTTGACAGAATAATTTATTGGATCGCATTTCGTTCTACTATTTCATCCTAAAACACATGTAAACGGTATATTTTTAAAATATTGATAACTGGGGATGAAAAGTGGGTTCTTTACAATAATGTTCAGAGAGGAAAACACTTGAAATCACAGCGACCCACCATTGACAACTTCAAAATCCCTAGAAGGTAATGTGCGTTTGGTGGGAGTGGAAAGGGGTGCTCTTCCTGCCCAACGAATCTGTAAATTCTAGTGTACTAATTGTGGATGAAAAGAAGGCCCTGTACAACAATGTTCAGATAGGAAAAACCTGGGGAAAACACAGCGACTCACTCCCAAGAAGGTATATTTAGTGCATCCTGCAGAATTGGAGCCATTAAATTCAGCAATTGGCCAAAAACCACCGTCATTGGCTAGTCACAGGAGGAATGGTTTCCACCAGGATGACGCACCAGATATTTGTGGGGCTTGGCTGGGATGTGCAACCCAACCCATACAGCAAGGAATGACACCCTTCATGTGGACACATTGAGCAACCTTTTTCTCAATGTCGGACAAATATATGGGCATTGTCCCAAAAGCAAGCGTCTGTGTCAATCGTGTATGGCCAATTCTTAATCGAGTTAGGATGAACCTTCTGCGGTTTAGCTTCTCTAGGGGCCACCTATCAATTGTGCTTTTGTTGCTGAACACCCAGTTCACCGACACCACCTTGTCTTTACATATCCTTTATTGCTTGTTTTGCTTGAACAATTCAGATCGCAAAAGTAAGGTCTTGAGTGTTAGCCTTCCCGGATTTTGGCTCATGATCTGCATGTTCATTGCCTTAGAATTATTATTATACTTTTCCAATCAATAAAGGCTTAATTTTCTCTTTCTTTTCCTTCACTTTGTTATGGTTTTTTTTAAATTTATTTAATTTTTTTAAATTATTAATGTCACTTCAGAAAGTTCACCTTTTTTTATTTTGTGCGATGTTTCAATAATGTTTGTGCCATATTCCAATAATTGCAGTACAAAAAAATATCTATGAATATGGCTTGTATTAAAAAAAAGTGTACCTTCTGAATTGGTATAATTAAAAAAAACCTACACTATATATACATATATATTTTATTTTTTTAAATAAGGAAAAAGAGGATGTAGGGTTTTTGAAAAGGCCCATTTATAAGTACTCTGTGTTTTGAAAATCTCATTCAGGACCACTGTGATTTGAACCCAGGACCTGACAGTGATGAGTCACTTTGTCAACACAAACCGTTATGGTCACCAATGCCTCTAAAATATAACATATCGTAATATTATAATATAGTAATGATAATATTAGTTTCTATACAATTTTTCATTTTTTTATTTTCTCACGTAAGACAGAATTTGCTGGAGGACCTTGTAATATGCATATTTATTTATGAGCTATAACCAAGTCTTTTTTCTTAAATAACAGTTTTCAAATATGTAGATAATTTTCTTTTTTATAGCCTACTTTTGATGATGGGATCCTTACCGGGAGTGCGCCTCTGTATCAGAATTCAACTTTTCAGTCTTTTTCTTCTTCGTTCGTACCGCCCATACCTGCAGATTCATCGCCATTTTTTCTTCTTACATCGGCTGAAATTGAACAAGACTTGGCTCCACAAGCGACTGAGGACGATGAAAGAAAACACCCCACAGACGAATATGAATATTACAAAGAAATAGAAGATTATCTGTTTAAAAATGTTCTCCCTGAAGGATATTCGGATATTTATTACAGGAACTTGAAAAAGAGATCTCAACATTATTTGGTAAGGGTGTTTGTAATGCAATATTGCTATAAACTGGGAATTTTAGAAATATTTAGAATAGAGCTAATAGCCTTATAATTACAACTTCACAATATGCTAATGATTAATCACTCAATTTGAATAAGTTACTCTTCTCAAAATTAGAATTGATAATAATGAAATAATGAGAATTGCAGTATAATGAATTTCTGATTTTACATGTAAATCTCTTAAAATGTTATTGAATCGACATTGGTTTCTGTTAACAGATGCACAATGGTGAGTTGCATCATAATCCTAAGAATCCCAAGAGAGTAATTATGATGAAGGAGAAACAGGATGAAATCCTCAAAAATACACACATCGTTCCAAGCAACGGGATCCACTTGGGAATCAAGAAGATGGTGAATTTTTTAGAAGAGAAATACTTTTGGAGAGGGCTCTACACTTCGGTTTCTCAGTATGTCAAAAATTGTGTTCAGTGCCGGGAAAAAAATGACTTTTTTTCAAATTTGGCTATACAAAATGAGTCTTCATCAGAGAATAACAAAAACCGTGTAAAAATTAACACCACTGGTATTCAAACCGTGTCTAATGTGTGGGCTAAAGTAAGTTTTACATTACTTTTCATGTATTATTAAATTCAAATATTAATTGAAGGAAAATAGATAATTGTTTTTATGTTATGAGACTTTAAAGAAACATTTAAAATAAGAAATAAAATAGATAAATTTGGGAGAATGCCAGAATAATTTATTTGACTTATTAGGTACTTTAATGTTATGATATAAGTATTACTTAATTTCATATTCAGTTTTAATAAATAAGTACTATTACAAGATTTAGGAACATAAACATAATTGTTGTTAAATTATTAATTGTTATATTTGTTTTACAGGTGGAAATTGCAATTAATGGACCATTCAAAATTACAAATTTGAGGAATGAGTACATAATGAGCATTGTTGATCCAGAGACGTGCTTTATTCTGGCGATGCCCATTACAAACAACGGACATTCGACTAAGCTCACTCAGTTTATGCTCCAGACATTTTATACATTCGGCTTTCCGAAAACGGCCGAAGTCGTGGCATCGGATCTCCTTTTTGAGGCCGTTTCCACCGAGTTTGTTTGGAGGCTTAGCAATTTCAGCGATGCCAAAAAATATCTAAAGAAAAGGGAGAAAGCACAAAATGTATGGGTCGGTGAGCTTTTTGAATTATTGAAGAAGAGGCATGCGATGAATTGGGACCGAGAGCTCGGCCAATTCCTCTACCAGTTCAGGATGGGCGGAATTAACCAATTTGCAAACTCTGCCTTCTGCCCATTTTATGCAATGTACCACAGGATTCCTGAATTATTTTTGAATGAAGAAAACAAAGAAAATCAATTTGAAGGGCCAAAAAATAATAGTTTTTTCAAAAGTCAAATTGAAAGCAATCAACAGCAGGTATATTTACATTATTTATATTATAATGTTTCATTAAAAAAAAAAAAAAACTTAAAGGAACGATTCTTGGATAATTCTATTTAAAATTTTTTTGCTTTTAAATGAAATTTTTCTACATTTACTTATCAATGAAAACATAGTTTCTCTCTCTCTCTCTCTCTCTCTCTCTCTCTCTCTCTCTCTCTCTCTCTCTCTCTCTTCAATATTTAATTTTTTGACATTTTATTTTTCTTGTAGTTAAATGACTTTGGTGAAACATTACCTTCTTTAGTATTAGAAGAACCCCAATACAGTGTGGAAGATCCAGATACTAGCCAGAATTCATCTCTATCAATCTCAGGTGACTAGACACATTTACAAAGTAGAATAAAATATTTTTAAAAATAAATTTTTTCAAATAGATTCCGATCAAACTGCTGTAGAATGTGGCCTGGATTTGACTACTGAGACTGATGACACCATTGAAGGTAACGTAAAATGTATAAAAGAGTTTTTAGCGGAAACAAAAGATTTACGGCGCAGGAGGGGAAAGTACCAGAAATACTCAGCTGAATTACAGAACACAATTGCAAATTACTCCCTGAAGCACGGAAGCCAAAATGCAGCAATTTATTTTACTAGGCTGCTCAAAGCACCAATTAGCGAGAGTACGATAAGGAGCATCGTCAAATCCTATGGCGAATTTATGCCGGCTTTGAAAGAGGAAATAGCAAATTATGCTGTTATCCATGGGGTGGAGAAGACGGCAAAGCACTATTCTGAAAAGCTGAAGAAACGTGTGACAGAATGTTTGGTTAGAAGATTTAAAACACTTTACATAAAGAAACCTGAGTGTAAGACAACAACAACCGAACTGAATTCAAAAACTGAGCCGAATGCTTCTGAATTCGCCAAAGAATACCCTCAGGATAATTTAGATTTAACTGATTGCTTTGAACCAATCGTTAGCATAGATCCTAAACTTGATACAGAAAATTTGAACAAAACTTATTCAATCGATTCTTCTACAAATCAATTCTTAAAGACAGTCGAGTACCAAAATTCCTCTTCTTCATCATTACCTTTATTTTCACAGCTGGATAACTTGAACTTGAACACCAGTCTACCTATTTATCAAACTCCTTTTACACAAACGCCAGTAGGCTTGAGCCACCCCGGGAACATGGATATAGGGCAGGCTCTCCAGTCACCAATTGTTCTAGTCACAAATGAGAATTATGATAGTACTGTTTTACCTGACAAGCCTGAACAGATTGAATGGCCTCCTGATTTACAGCCAATTAACAATTCGATTCAGGAGACCGTGTTTATTGACCCAATGGGGGAGGCGAGCCAAGAAGAAGAAGAAGAAGAAGATATAGTTTACTTTCCAATAGATTCCCCACCGATAGTCAAAAGAAAAAAAAGACCAAAAAACTCAAAGGAACCACGTGGAAAAAAAAGAGGTAGATATACATTTTATAGCCCAGAATTGAGGGCAGAAATAGGAAAATACGCTGCTGAACATGGTAGTTTAAAAGCTAGCAATCACTTCAGCAAAATTTTAGGCCATGATTTACCTGAGAGTACTGCAAGAGGTTATAAAGAGAAGTATTTGAAAAAATTAAAACATTGTGATGTAACGACTTTAGGCTATTCTCAGAGGGGAAGACCAGTCAGATTAGGAAAGTATGATGAAGTTGTTCAGGAGTGTTTAAAAGAGTTAATAAAATCTGGTGAGAAAGTGACCTCGTTCTTGGCGATCACTACTGCCAAACAGATTTTGAACAAGTACGAGCCTGGCCTTTTGCAAGAAAACGGCGGAAATGTCGTATTAAACACAACATGGGCTAAATCAGTCCTTAGAAGAATAGGTGTACATAATAGCTCTTAATGCAGAACTAAAATTATTTTTACGGATTTTTATTTAAATTGTGAATTCTAAGGAAATTATGTGCACTGAAGCAAGCTGAGTAAAAAAAGAACCTAAACTACCTCTCTTTGTGCAAAAAGACATACTTTTAACCGTGGTAAAAAAGCTTCTCATAATGAAAGAATCCACAAACATATACAAAGACAATATTATGTATAAACTCATTGGCAGTCAGTTCATATTCATTGGTACTCTGCTCGAACAAACCTTTTGATTATTCAGTGAATATTCTACACTTGTTTTTCAGTATTTAGTAATGTTATATTACTTGCTACTGAAAACCAAAGACATAAGGGATCAAAATTAAACAATTATTTAATTACCCTGACATATGGGGTTTTTGCAATCTGTTATTTGGTCATTATTGATCACTTTGGCCTGCCTTTGCTCACTGGGTTCGTGTTTTGGTATTTTGCATACAAGGGAAAAACATACTAATTGTGCTGGATCAGGACTGAAGATAGAGAAATTTTGCAACCATGGGGAGGGCATTCGGTTCTGCAGGGTTATAGTTATAGGAAAACAAAATAGTGCTGTTTTATGTTGTGAAAAATAAAGTAAAACTCTTAACAGCTATATATTGTAAGCCGTTCCATATTTTTTAATCTTGCATTAACACTCTGCCTTGTTGATAGCGGCAATGGTCCCATCAAGTCGGTTGTAACGATCTGCCATGGTCTTTCGGCGACTCTTCTTTTCCCCATTAGGCCAGCCAGCGCTTTCTGAAGAGGTTTCATGGAAAGACATATCTCGCATCTTGCGACATACCTGGAAACATCAGAAGCCATACCAGGCCAATAATAGGCTTCTTTGATCCTTTGTAAGGTTTTGTATGCCCCCAGATGTCCTGAGATAGAACTGTCATGATAGTCCGTAATCAACGGCGACCGACGGGATTTTGGAACCACTAACTTCCATGGACGGTCTTCTCCTAGTATTTTCCTCTTATCTACTATGCGTTTATACAATTTTGTATTCTCCACTCTCCAACTTGGGTATTTTTCTGCGTGACCAGCCACCTCTGTCATCATCTTGGAATACCACTTATCTCCAGCGGCCACTGTACAATCCACCACACAAACATCCTCCTCACCTTCGTTCCGGCGAGATAAAGCATCTGCCGCCTGGTGGCTCTTCCCCGGACGATGTTGTATGTTGAAGTCGTACTGTTGCAGCTTGATGGCCCAACGCGCCAATCTACCTTGAGGATCTTTCAGATTGTGTAGCCATTTTAATGCCATATGATCAGTTATCACCGTAAACTGCATCCCTTCTATGTATGGACGAAACTTTTCAATTGCCCGAGAGAACCGCGAGGCATATGTGTTCGTATATCTTGACGATATTATAATGGTGATGCCTACCTTCGAAAAGCATCTGCACGTCCTGGATGAGGTTTTACAGAGGTTGGTGGACGCAAAACTTTCTGTAAACTGGGAAAAATGTTGTTTCTGCCGTCCGGAGCTCAAATATCTGGGATATGTGGTAAACGGCGATGGGCTACAGGTGGATCCCGAAAAAGCATCGGTTTTCACCTACCCAACACTATAGACGGTGAGACAGGTCAGCCATTTCCTCGGATTAGCGAGCTGGTACCGCAGATTTGTTCCAGACTTTTCAACGGTCATTTCTCTACTGACTGAACTACTTAAGAAGGGGAAGAAATGGCAGTGGGGATCTGCTCAAGACAAGCATTCGCACAGATCCTTCACATCTCCCACATCACTCATCTTCCCTCAACGGGTGCTACCTTACCGTATACAACACTCTCAAGATGCTTTAACGTTTATGCATCTTTGTACTTCGAATCCTATTGATTTCGCAGGTGCTTGATTAAGGTTCTCCCAGAGCATGTAGTCATCTGACCTTCGAATCTCAGGTTGTCCTCCGTTTGCTTCAATAGTCTGGGTTGTGTTGGTGTAGATTGTTTGGCAGGTATATCGTTTTGTGCTGGATGATCAGGATCGGGTGCAGGTGGGCTGTTTTCAGTCGATGGTTCCGGAATAGATGATTTAGCTTTAGCTCCATGTTGTTGATTTACCTCAGGCAGTGTAAGTCGTTCTTGGGTTTGGTTGAGATATGGCGCAGGAATTAAATTGAAGCGATTCCTTCTTACTGTGCTCGTTGATGTCTGCACTAGATAAGATCGTTGATTCATCACTTTGATGATCTTCCCATGGCATTACAGATCTGTGATCCAAACAAACTCGTCACACTGTAGCTGGCTCAGGTTCTTTGCTGTAGTCTATTTTATATTGCTTTCTATATCTTTCTTCAGCTTTGGCTAACTTTTCTGGAGATTTAACTCCCATATGCTGAATGGATGGGTGGTTGTCCCTCAGTTTTCTGCTGTATAGCATTTCTGCTGGGCTAAACCCATTCCCTAATGGGGTATGGCGGGTAGAATTTTTTTTTTTAAATAGTGTTTTTACAACCTTAACAGCGGTATCCATGGCACCATTCACTTGATGGAATTGCAGACTGCTTAAGGCTGTGGAAAATCCCCAGTCCTTGGCAAAGATCCAAAATTCGGATGTCTGTATACCGTGGAATTGTGTCCTGCTGTCTGAGCAGAAAGTTGCGGGATTCCATATCTTGCAATGTAGTTTTGCAGATTTTGATTATGTCTGACGCTCTCATTTTTCCAACTTGGTGGACTTCAAAGAGTTGTGTAATGGCCAGTAATTACAAGCACCATTTGTTGTCAAGTTTAAAGAGATCCAATGAAGCAACTTGCCAAGGGTAGTCGGGAAACTTTGAAGGCAGCGAAGATTCATTGTGGTTTGATGAATTTTGTATGCAGACAGAACAGGATTTTATTTTTGCATCAATGCCTGAGGCGATTTCTGGCAACCGCATACTACTTTGCATTCATCGCCGTGTTTTGGTGAAGCCTTGATGGCTTCTCCAACATGATGTGACGGAGCTCGTTTGGAATTATCATGCGGTTCCTCTGAGTAAAATTCCATCTATTACTGATAGTTAATTGTGTACTGTGAAAAAGTTTTATTTCTGGGGCTAGTTCGGAGATATGGGGCCATCCCCCTTTAATATATTGGATAAGTAGCTTGCATGTTGGATCTGAATTTGAGAGTTGGCAACTCTTGTGATATCCTCACCCGTAGTGGGGATGCCTGTAAACACAGGTTTCTTGACTCTGGCTTCTTCTTGGAGTAATACGGTGCCAAGGCCTTGTCGGTTGATCAGTCACAAGACACATGTGTTGTTAGACAAGGTGAAGATGTGAGTAAATTCTTGATTCTCTCAAAATCAATTTGTTGAGATGGCCCCCATACAAACGCATTGTGTGAGCTTACCAAACTCGGGAAATTTAAATTTCGGAAACTCCCATTTGGAATTACATCAGCTCCAGAGGAATAACGAAAGAAGGCATAGCACCTGATCCGTACAAAGTGAAAGGAATTACAGACATGGAACCGCTCAAGTATGCAAAGGAAGTCCAACACTTCGAGGGGATGGTAACCTTTTTTGCGACGTTCATCCCTAAATGAAGCGACATCGTGGCACCAGTCCTTCAGGAGCGTGGGTTCGTATCCCACCACTGCCACCTTGTTTTATGGTGTGAAAAATAAAGATCATAACAGAACGTATAAATTTTTTAAATCTTACATTAACACAAGTTCCCTTTACATCTCCCACATCACTCTTCTCCCCCCTCCTCCAATAGGTGCCACTTTACCATATACAACAAGTGCATTATGCTGTACATGACCTTTCTAATAGGTTGTCATAAAAAATGACCGTTTTTCTTGCTAATTTAAAAATAATTTTTTTTAAAATATTCAATGCATGTGTGTGTCCTATGGTTTGTTGCCATGTCGAGGCCAAGTGTTGTTCACAATACATTCTTTGGGTTTTGAACGGAAGAATTCGTCAACTCCATTTTGAACTTCATCCAGAGAATTAAAAGTTGGCACATTTAGCCATTGAGCCATGGACTGTAAGCAGGGTGAGGGAGAAACTCAATTCTGTAATTTTTAGTTTCGTGTAACGAGAAGTATGTAGTTGAATGTGACCTTGTTGAAACAAAATCCAATTTCCATTTATTGATCCGATTCCACCTACTAATATATTGTTTATAACTGCTTACAATAAAGTTTTGAATCAATGGTTCAACCTTTTAGAATTAACTCATAATGAAGTATGCCTTCGTAATTCCAAAATACAAAGAGTATTGGCTTTTTGTTGTATTGCCTTTGTTTAGTGACTGGTAGTGCAGGCTGATTGCAGCCTAGCCATTGTCTTTTGGTCTTTGGGTTTCTCCAATATGTCCACTTTTCATCGTAGGAAATCATTTTTTATGACTCACCCTACTACTTTCTCATTCCTTAAATAATGTTACTTTCCATTGGATACATATTTTTTGTAGACAAGCTGATGATATTTTAAGCATCTCTCAGAACAGAATTTACTGTTGAAATTAAGAGTATAACAGTAAAATTTTCTATAATAGTAGTAGTTTGTATAATTTATGGGCTGACAGACATCAAGTGGTCATCGACGGCCTTATGCAGTTTAAACTTTTGAAAGTATGTTTTCACCCTTTTTTTGTCACTGATTCCCTTATATTACAATTAAATTACTATTAAAAGAACAAGGCAACACAAACACATCCAAATTTTCTTGCTTCCCCCGAAAACACCACTTCGCAATAGGGAAGGGAGCCTGCTCTGAAGGCTGAAACACCCGGACAGTGCGTAGACAAATAACTCCCACAATGCCCCGGTGAAGCTGCCAAGCTCCAAAAATTCATAATAATCTCAGTTATTTAATTAACAATAAATTTAGGGTTTCTTCCAATACAACCAGATTTAATTATGTGAAATGACAATACATGGGTTCAATACTTGCACTTGGAAAATTAATAAACTGAGAAATAATAATAGGTGTATATGAAATAAGATTTAAAATGATAAAAAATATTATTTTTTGTCAATGAGTTTGTACAAAGGTTCATCATGTGAAATTATAAGGAATGTATACTGTTTATTATGCAATTACATATAAGTTATAAAATATAATAAATTTTAATTACTGATGATAAATGTATGTCAGATGCTTTTGTCTTGATGCCTTTTGTAATTGAACAAATGCCAAATTGTCAAAAACTATTCGTAGTACAAAAATGGATTTAATTGTAAATCCTTCCAAATTGCTTGTGATAGTGACAATTAGAAATGCATATATGTGTGTGTGTGTATTTATGTTTAGCTACAGTATCTGCTGTGTAAAAGAAAACGTCACACTATTGCACTAATAAATTTTTTAACATTATTTTGTACTTTTTTTCTAAATAATCCCTCAATTCTAAGGTAATTAAAGTTAAACGTAAGAAGTGAATTTGTGGTAAAGTTACTGAATAGTTAATCTTTATGAAAGGTATTGGTCGAGATAAAAAAGTCAGTGTCACTAGCGGGATTCGAACCCACGATCTTCGGCTAAATACGCCGCTGCTCTACCACTTGAGCTAACGTGACTTCGATACTTTTATCCCGACCAATATCTTTCTTAAAGATTAATTAATTGAAAAAAGTTAATTGGTCAATCGGACTGTAATGGATTTACTGAATAGTCTGGCAAATACGTGTATATGGTAGAAATATTTCATGTAATGTTCTTTAGTGTTTATTATTATTATTTTTTTTTTCAAATAATAATTTGACAAGGAATCTGATTTCATTTTTGTTGTTGGTTTGTATTTTTTTAAACAGAAAGTTCGATTTGTTTGAACTACTCGATTATGAGGATAGTGGCCTGGCCTCCTTCAAGCTGAACCGTGATGTTCCTTCTCCGCCCACAAAACAAAATCACGATGAAACTCGGATAATCAGACGACAACTAACCCTTGTTTAAAACGAAAGTTCAAAAATTAGTTAACGCCAGACACGCGGATCAGAAGGGAATCGGGAAATTCTAATTCTCAAACTCTCCACTAAAATTTACAGTACAGACGGACCTGGAAGAACGTCTGTTATGGATACCTTGACAATTGTTAAGCAATTAACAGACCTGATAAAAACACAAGATAAAATGAGACTCGATACTCCACAAACTCGAAAAGGGAAATTTAAAAAATTCAAATAGGTTCTTGTACAAAACTTGTGTTTGTTTTCTAATTTCGCTGAAGTCACGATTGAGTCACAATGTTAATTAGTTTAGATCGCAAACTCACGATACAACCTAACATTGTGATGTCGGATGTGTATAATTTTTGTATTTACAGTTCATTTAAAACAGGTTTGTGAGAAAGACCATAAGGCCTAACTTGGTCGATTCCGATCATTTTGGTCTGCTTATTTCCCAGACACTTGGTAATTTTTTATATACCTCGATTCAAGTATAAATTACAAAGTATGCAAGATTATTTACGTTTGTTTGGTGAAGTCCAGTGACTGTTATACATCAGTTCAAATTCAACTCTCTCCTCCTCTTTTACTAGACAGTATGTTAACAATAAATAATTTGTAGTCTGGTCGTTTCCGATCACTTTGGCTGCCTCCTCGCTGGTTTGGTCTGTCAAGTCGTTTCAATTTTTCGCCATCTACAATCTCAATCCAGCACAATTAGTTAGTTTGTACTTTTGTTTTTGAGTAATCCATGTAATCTCTGTTTTTGAGATGCCTTTGCTTTTTTGTTTATTCATTTTTTGTTAAATCATGCAATACATCTCAGATTCTCTAAGCTAAGTAAATTGTCACAAAACACTCTAATGTAGATGTCGAATTTCCAAAATGAATCAATTGATTGACTCAAGTTTCGACTAAGTATATACGACCAAATGGGTTTATTACTTGAAACTTGTACAATTTACCGAAGCCCAGATATCAAAATGTATTCAATTATTAATTTCACATGAGGTAAAAAGTATGTACAAAACTTACTATTTAGAATTTGAATAGTTTAGTAAATTAATAAGATATTGCATAATGTACTAATAAGTAGGTTCGAATAATACTGGTATGCTTAATCACGCTGATTGGTCCTATCACACGAGTTTCGACATCTTTAGTGGAGGTTTTTCTCGTATTGCCCTGCTTATACCCCTGATTAAACGATTAATAAGATGAAAAACAAAACGATTCTGACAGTCCAAACTGGCGAAATAACGACCAACTTACGGATTCATCACCCCACAGATCCCATGAAGAAATCTCCCAATAGATATTTGATAGATAAATATAATAATATCATGTAGTAGTACTAATTCATCGACATAAGACACTAAAACTCCATTTATTTCTGAATTCAAATTAATTATTCTTTTTATATAAGGTTTTTGGTGAGATGCAAAATTAGTGTCAAGAGCGGGATTCGAACCCACGACACCGAAGGTAAAAAACATTAGATAAAAACAATAATTAATAGAAATAATTAATATAGTCAATTATGATCACTAAACAAATATGGATTTATTTCTCAATGTTCTACGTGTAGTTTGTCTTGAGGCCTTTTGCGTTTTAACCTACTGTTTGCTTGTGGTGGGTATTATTTGGCATTGTGCAGTAATCAATAAGGAACAATTAATGAAGTTTGATGAATGGTTATGGCGGTGTAAACTTCTTCTTCAGGTACCACGAAGCTCCTCGATCATTGTCCAAATTCTATTCGCTCTACTTATAACCCTGCCCTAAGTGTAGTACATTTTAGGGTTTAAAATAAAATGTAAAACTACGGTACTATGGTTACGTGAAGTAGTCGTCCGATATTGTTTCAGTCTTCGAAAAGGATTTAGATTTGGAGTGGAGTGAACAGTAAGAGTAACGTTTTTCAATTAATTAATCGTTATGTAAGGCATTGGTTGAGATAAAAAAGTCAGTGTCATGAGCGGGATTCGAACTCACGACCCTCGGCTATATACGCCGCTGCTCTAACCACTTGAGCTATCGTGATTTCGACCACTCGGACACTAACTTTCCACCTCAACCCGACCTTTCGAATTTTCCCTCCTTTTTGCCATTTTTCAATTCGAAAGGTGGGGTTGAGGTGGGAAGTTGGTGTCCGAGTCGATCGATAGCACAAGTGGTAGAGCAGCGGCGTATATAGCCGAGGGTCGTGGGTTCGAATCCCGCTCGTGACACTGACTTTTTTTATCTCAACCACTGCCTTATATAAAGACTAATTAATTGAAAAACGTTATTCGGTCAATCGGACCACGAACTCTAATGGAAGTAAGAGTAACTTTTGGAATCAAGGTAGTACGAGCTTTTATGCAGTTTGAATGGTTATGAGGTGAAGGATTTGAATTAAAATTTTTCGAGAGTTTAAGTCCATAAGTTGCAAATGATTAGTTTAGTTTTTAAAGTCCATTTGCTTTATTTTCCCGTTAGTATGTATAGAATTCCTAGTCTTTGGTTTACTTCTAATCAGTCTAGGGTTCTAGTTAAGTTTACTGTCGAGATAGAAATCGAGTTAGTGGACCTGGATAGAGTAATATTTATGAGGGTAACAAAGGGGAAGACATATCTTTTTAAGATACAAATCACCCGGTAATAATTATTTTCAGCGATTTTTATTGGTAAGGTTTTGCAACAGAGTCAATGAAGATCGTGAAGCTTGAATGTTGTATGGAGGGTGCTGAGCATAACCGTGTTATCGGCGTAGGTGGCCACTTGTCTGGGTGGATAAAATAGTGATAAGGCGAATCATAAAATTAAACACTTGTGATGTTGATCTTAGAAAAATTTGGAATGTTTGGTTATTTACTTCTCATTGAATATGTTTTAAGTTGACCTATACACACTTGATGATTGTAATGAAGAAATCCACGTGGGAAATTTTTTTATAAAGGTTTGTTCGTTTTTGAAGATCATTAAATCATGTAAAAACTCCGCGAAAAGCAATAATAGGAAAAATGAATCATGTCTGTGTTGTATACGGCGAGTGATTTCAATGCCCGAGTAAGGCCACCTCCTGCCGTGCGTTGAGGATTTTTAGGAAGGAAAGCTTCAACATTAGAGTTTAAGCGAAGCATGTGGACTTTCTGATAGGGCAGATCTCGTGGGAGCCAATTACAAACAAGTGCGTGCCTCAGATATCCGAGCAACCCCTGCGATAAGGGACTTTGATAACGTGATGAGATAGTCGGTCCATCTCCGGAAAGGGGATTTATGTGACCCCCTAGGACATGCCCTATTTTCGGACTTGCACTTCCCTGTCTGCATCTTAACCAGAAAATGGCTTTTTCTCTTTCACGCGCTGTACCGTTTGACCGCGATATATTTTTTTTTAAACAAACAAACGAAACAAGAGTATGAGAACTCTCTCTTCTGTAAAAAAAAAAAACACCCAGACATTTTACAAACGGTAAAATTGTATTTTTTAACATTAGAAGTTTTATTGCATATCGCACGGTAGCAATTAAGTGGACGGAATTTTTTTATAAGATGTAATATTATTTTGAAGGAGGAGGGAATTTTATTTAAGGGATGTATGCTGGTATAAAAACATAGTCTGTCGTGCTGGTGGAAACGTAACTCGATTCAAAACCCTGGCCAGTGGATTCAATAGGGAGATAAAATAAGTTATCTTCAAATTTTCAGCTCGAGAAGCTGGAAGATCGTCGTATGCTGACAGATGGAGGGACGAAAGAAGAAAACTGAGAGCAAAGTAATCGTAAAGAAAAGCCTTAAATACCGTACGCTACACACTCGATACTACTAGGCGTTGGGGTGATAGATTTAGTTGCAAATAAGCTCTATAATGGGACTAGGCCTGGACATTTCAGAATGTTGGGATAAAAAAAAGGTTGGGCATAGAAGGTAAGGGTAATTACCAAGATGCACTGCAATTAGAGAAAAAGGAACTTGTCTCGGTCTCAGTGCATACAGGGACAGAAAGGGAATATGCTGATAAACTAGCCAGGTAGGCTTCCTCGGCTTCTATTCAATCTTACCAAACTCTTCTGTAAAATTTCAGACTGCCATAAATGAAAAATAAATTCCTGAATGGATCAAATTAACCTACCCAAACTAAGGGTCAAATATGTGTAATTATTCAAGGAAATCTCGTCCAAACCCACCACAAACCTGCTATCCCAAAACGGAAAAGAGCTTAGGATTATTGCAAGTCTGTTATCTGTATATTGCTGACTCAATAGACTTATATTATCCTGGGAGTGGCAAAAGATACTGCTATCAAAAGATATCTGCTAGATGCAAAAGTACTCATACTGCTATGAAGAAAGTTTCCACGCAGACAAACGAAAGGTCAATCTAGCAAATAGAATTGAGGAGCAACTAACTATCCGAAGATAGTGAGCAATAATCCAAACGAGGAGGAGCACAATAGTCCCACTTGACAAACGTAGTGGAAAATGCTCTTTAACCATGTAAACAACGAATCTACAATCTACCTTTAAAATCCCCAGGTTACGATTAATTTGGAATATACCGTTATCAAAATCTACAGCAATGTATCTAAGGTCTATATTCTGCTGGTATTGTTAGTCCCCCAATTTAACAAATAATGGCAGTTTTATCTGTTGTTTTCGGTGGGTTATTGATATCTAACAAGAGTGAAGAGAAATAACAATAATAGGAGACCGTGGCGGTCTAGTACCTAGCGATTCTGGGTTCTAATCCCGACCCAGCTCATCATGTCAGAATAAAGTTACATAGCCCAAGTCCTGGGGTGTACCGCGCTATGCATTCACGATGGTCTACAGCGGTTTAGGACCACCGAAAAGTATTCGATCGAAGAGAAGGTAGCGGTCAACCGCGGTGTACGACGGCTAGAGACGATCGTTTTATTGCCCTTACAGCACTACGGAAACGCTTACTTGATAGTCAACTCCAAACTGGCTGGAGTGAAAGGGTGAGCTCTAAAACAGCATCAGAAGGTTTCGTGAAAATGTAGTCTGTAGACAGGTTCTCTACTACTGAAGAGGCATCGAGTAGAAAGGCGACGAGGTTTGGACTCTTGTACTGTTCTCTTCACACGAGTGCCGATACAGACAACCGGGACTGTGTGTGGAGAAGACGTGAGAACGCTTTGTTCCATGTACCTCGCATGTGTCATAGCCTTTTCAAAGGCAGTCAGTTATAGTATGGGGTGGAATCAACGCCGAACATACCGAACTGATTATCATAAAGAATGGATCTTTGACTGTGCTAAGGTACAGTTGAAGCTGAGGAAGTTTTCTGGAAGCTGTGGTCCCATTGGCTCCATTTATTGCGTGATAATGTTTGACCGCATGTAGCTCGAGATGTCACCCATTGGAGGGTTGGCCAGCATGTTGGCATGAATCCTATAGAACATTTATAGGATTTGTTAAAGAAACGGGTTAGACATCGTTCGCTGCCTCCAACAAGCGTTGAACAGCTTCAAACTCTTGTTGAAGAAAGGGATTGTGCTTCACAAGAAGAAATCCGATCGCTTATTCACTCGATGATTAGGAGACTTAAGGCCGTCCGCGAGGCCCGAATGTAATATGAGCTATTAAGAGAAAAACCAGACAATAAATTGTTAGTCATATTCTATTACTAAATTATTTTCCGGTGTTTGGTGAATTTTATTTGAAATCATCATAATTAAATAATTTTTATTAAAACGCATGATCTCGTTTAATTTGGTTTACAATAAAATTGTTGCAATTAATATAACGATAAAGGTATATAGTTTGAAATAAACAAGAAAATATGAACGTCCGGTTTTTGTTTTGAGTGCATAAGTAATCTAGGCTGTGTATATTGACAATTTACATTATTGTTTGTTCAGTTTCATCAATCAGAACAGTGAAGAATCTCTGTTAAAAGCCTATTAGAATAACTAGATATTAGATTATGCTTTTCCGTTTAAAGAAGTGTTATTTGAAAGTGCAACGTTCAACAAATTTCACTTCCACACGATCACAAAAATGCCTTTCGATTCGTTTGTACAGTGAATGTAATTCTTAGAGAGATATTTGTCTTTAGCTAGAAATGGTCGCTCATCAAACCGTTGGAATAATTCTATTGAAAGGAATGAAGGGTACAAAGGGAAGAGTAAATAATAACAAAGAGAATGGTTAATTATTGTGGCTACAAGGCCTATAATTAACTCGGCTTTTAAAAGGAATAAGAAGCGGGCTAGGTTTGGTTTATGTCACATGACGATAACCATTGTGAGAACGCATTTAATAGACCGTGAAATAGGTTTATTGTTACGTAATTAAGACGGATGTATGGAGCCGAAGGATCTAATGAGGGGGAGAGTGTTCCTTATTGGAAAGTAACCCGATTTTTCGGGTCATTTGAGGAGTGGGCGAACGACCGGGGTCAAGGGTTGTTCATTGTGCTGACCCGATTAGTCGGACCTTTCTCCGCACCGGCGACAAGGTGAAAGCAATCTAGTGCCAACTTTTAGAATAAATGGAATTTAGACGGAGGAGGGGTCTCGGGAATTTCGAGCCGGTGGTGCACAGGCTGTAGAACAATCGTTGATGCCTTTTTGGCCTGGAGGTTGATGGAAGACCGTGTTTCGCGGAAGTGGAAGTGGTAAACCTCCTACAACACGCATGAATATTCAACGAGACAACACACGGATCCCGAAGATTTAATGGTTTTACGGAATATCAAGCTTGTTTTTTAGGATTTTATCTAGGGCTTTGAGAAACTTGAGACCCATGGCGGGCGGATTCGAAATTAACTAACATGGCCATCTTCGATTTATTTCGATCCAGTTTGAGTTATGTTTTACGGTTCATCTCTTTAAATTCGCTTTCCAATAAGATAAAAGCACGATAGAAGCTTTTCGATACGAACTTGATGAGTTTTTAATAAGTTTCCTTTTATTTATTGCAAATTTCATTTTGATTGGCTAAATGCTGGTCGGTTTGGCCGCGAACAGTGTGATTTTGAATTTTCTTTTACGGAGTCGGTCGTTTTTGAACGTCCCGCAAAGTTTATTATAAAATATACATACAGACATTATAACAGGGTATTCAATGCTAATTAGCACATAAATAAAATTCAAGGAGACAAAAAAATAACTTAAGGAGCCATACTTAAAGAATATGTTTTTTGGTTCGAAGAAAATCTTTCTGAAAAGGGTTCTGAAGGTGAATTCAATCATCGTGTAATAAATGTTTGAAAACGAATCCCACATCAACGACTGGTCGTTAAAAGACGGAAGAGCTTTAAAACGGAAAGTGTTCTAAATTGTACTTAAACCACGGCTGCGATGCGATTTCCGTTAAGTTTAATGTCAAAAATTT